TCAACTTCCAACAAATTAGGAATGGGTGGCTAATCAATCTCTAAAGGCACAGACTTCTCCATTTTCGATCGATCCTCTCTGCAATTGTTCTTGTAACCAGTAAGTGCGTGATGGGATTGGCTGTTAAATAAGCTGAAAAAGCTTCTTCTTGTCCCCAAACGGGGATGGCTTTATTCTGTCTTTTTTGCCTTGTTTTTGAGGTTTATGTTATGTTACATATTGTTGCTTTTTTGGGTCTCCAAGTTGTGGGGTAACTAACTAGCCAAGTTCTGATTCCTTCAATGGGGGACAAGAAAAATAGAGTATCTCCTTACGAGCATTCATCTCCGAGAAATTCTTTTAGGCGACGAAGACAACTCATATCTTGCAAAACTTTGGTTTGAGGACTCACTTTCACATATCCATGCATCGTATTGGTCTAGATCTAAAAAAGTTTGACTGGATTACCAACAAATTACGAGTAGCTGAAGCGAAATTGAGCTAGTGATAATGAGATGTAAACATCCGGAGCATGAGCCAGTAACAATTTTTTTTAGTGGTTTCAAGTCTTTAACTCATAGTTGTTAGCTAAATCTAGCGAGTATGTAGTAGTCGTGGATAACTGCATAAATTAGTAAATGACTAGTCATGGAGTGAATTACACTCTCATGAACCACAGAATAAGTATTGAACTTCCAATCATACAATCAAGAGATAGGGTGAAATCTCTTTTGAAATTTACCATGGTTCTCTGGAATCTATGGAATGAGAGGAGTAATCACGTCTTTTACAATAGGACATAAGTGGAGCGGGAAATCTTCGACAAGGCTATATCCGACCGGTAAGAGTACAATTCACTCCATTAGAAGGAGTAAGGAGTGAGAGTAGCAAGAAATATGACCTGGGAAAAGTCGCACGTGGGATGGTTAAAGGTGAATGTCTATACAACTACCTTTGCAGGAGGGGGATGGTGTAGTGGTGCTGGATTCAGAGAGGAAGTATCTTTTGAAGGCCGTGAGAAGGGAGCGATACTAGTGGTCGTCGGAGATTACAGAGTTTCAGGCAATAGCTTTTGATAAGAAGATGGTCGAAATGAAGCGTTTGTTCCCTGCAATCATAGAAACAAATTGCTTGAAGGCAGTTTCAAAACTCAACCAATCCAACCGGTCTTCTTTTTAAGCATGTTGACTTAGTGATGAAATACGAGGGTCTTGGAGAATTAGTAAGTCGGAATGAACTTTTGCAATGAGAGAATGCAAGAAAGTAGCCCATATAATGGCCCACACACTATGCAATTGGGTTACTAAGGGGTCGTTTGGAGGTTGAGATTTGAAGTGAGGTATTTAGCAAATACATGTAATGATAAGATTAAGTCGTTTTTTTTGGTTCCCTTTGAGTTAGAATGCATGTATTACCGTTTTAATGGGTCCACCTACAATCACTCAAAATGAATGATTATAAATCTCTACTAAGGGGTCGTTTGGAAGTTGTGATTCTTCAAATTGATGTATTAGCCCAATTAGTGTATTATCATTTGATGTATTGATTCAATGCATGTATTAGGAAAATACTTTGTTTGGAAGGGCAATGATGAAACAAAAAGTAGGGTAGACAATCCCTCATTAACAATCTCACCTTTTAGTAGAGATTTATAATCATTCATTTTGAGTGATTGTAGGTGGGCCCAACAAAAAGGTAATGCATGCATTCTAACTCAAAGTAAACCAAAAAAACGACTTAATCTTATCATTACATGTATTTGCTAAATACCTCACTTCAAATCTCAACCTCCAAACGAGGTGAGATTGTTAACAAGGGATTATCTACCCTACTTTTTGTCTCGTCATTGCCCTTCCAAACAAAGTATTTTCCTAATACATGCATTGAATCATTACATCAAATGATAATACACAAATTGAACAAATGCATCTATTTGGAGAATCTCAACCTCCAAACATGCCCTAAGTAAGTTTGGGTCGAAACAATAGTAGTGGAATAGACGACACTCAATTAGACCATCAAAACTTCTTCCATCCTTCCATTTCCAACTAAGATTTCTGTACAAAACTTCGTGTACCTTGGGATTTTCATAACCACATCCAAGAACGAAACTATTACCTTCAACTGCCTGAGCATGTCCTTCCATTGTCCACACTCGTAGTTTAGATCACTCTGAAGGCCCTTCAAGGGAATGGTAGTTTAGGAATGTGCTCAGTTACTTAAAACTTGATCATTGGGTTTTGATAGGGCAAAAGCACAATGCCCCAAAAACTTGATAGGGCAAAAGCGTATATGCCTTAATCCTATCTTGTAGTAAACCGGAAAGTCCGGGTATCGTCTCTCCGGGACTGGTACAACCTTATATTTTATCAATTTATAGAGCAAACTATAGGTGAAAATGGTTTAATGAGACTAATTATCTAAAAGCAAATTAATTAAACTAATTAAGCAAAGTAAATTGGTCGGGAGAAATTCAATGGAGAAAGCTCTGGGAGAAACACCGGGATTCACTACCTATCCTATCCAGATTAATTCACATATTCCAATCAGTTTAATCCATATCTCTACAGCCAGGATATCACGAATGTGCTAGCTATCCCTGTCGGGAATTACTACGTACTAAACAATTAAATCAAATCCTACCGTCGTAGCTCAATGAGTTAATTATTTAGCCTGAAGATCGATATCCTATTTAAGACCGCATAGCACCTTATTTAATCCACTGTCGCTTCGATAAGTTACTATGTCACATGAAATAGGTTCAGTTATTAGGGTTTCACTGTCGCTAATAACCTAATTAACTACAAATCAATGTATTGGTGGCCAGTCAACACAAAGCATTAAACAATTTCATGCAATAGAGATTGGAAGAAAAGGACGGAGAGCCAGGGGGACAGGATTCTTTGGGCGAAGCAAGTTCCTGGACAGCGAGAGCAGTGCGGAGCGCAGCGCAAGGGCGATTCGAGAGCAACGATCGGCGATTGGAGCGAGAGGAAAATAGAATCAAACAACGTCCAATAATTCAGTATCTTTTCCTTTTGCTTTGATTCGTAACATGATGATTATGAACATGATTGTTTGTTTTATTTTTGTCATGAACTAAACCCCAATTTATGGGGGAAACATACTAAATAATCAATTCAAATCCTACTGTCGTAGCTCAATGAATTAACTATTTAGCCTGAAGACCGATATCCCAATTAAGACCGCATAGTACCTTATTTAATCCACTGTCGCTTCGATAAGTTACTATGTCACATGAAATAGGTTCAGTTATTAGGGTTTCACTGTCGCTAATAACCTAATTAACTACGATTCATTGTATTGGTGGCCAGTCAACACAAAGCATTAAGGAATTTCATGCAATAGAGATTGGAAGAAAAGAATCATGAATCAATCCATCAAATCAAGACATAGCTACATCCTATGGTGTTTCCCCCAGAAATTGGGGTTTAGTTCATGACGAAATTAAGATAAAACAATAGGGTTTTGATCATCATGTTCCAACTCAACAATAAACAAATAATTCGGACTAGAGAATCCAACCAAATAACTTGTTTTTGTTGAGAGCTCACGTCGCCTTGGAGAACCACTCGCCGAGCTGCTGTCGCCAAAATCACCGTTGCTCGCTGTTCCCTCCGCTGCGCCCTGCTTCTTTTTCCCCAAAGAATCCTCCGTCCAAGAATTCTGTTCCTTTCCCCCAAAAGATTCCTCCCGCCAAGCCAATTCCGTTTCTACAGAGAAGTGTCCAATTTCTCTCCTGCGCCCTACGTGTCCAATTAATTTGGCCCAAGGAATTCCCAAAGAAAAGTCCACCGCCAGCAAAAGGAGCCCAATCGAATGGGCTTTGGCCCATTTCATTAAGCCCATCCAGATGGGCCTTGAGCCCAGCTTCGAGAATCGTTTGCCGGTGCAACTTCTTTTTCGTGTTTTCTTCACCTGTAATACATCAAACTCATGGCACTAGACAATAATGATTTTTCAACCATTCTCGGGTTAGCGAGCCCTAAAATAGCACCAATTGGCTAAAACATACTACGGATAATCACATAAAGTCCAAGAATTCAATATGTTAAAGCCGATTATCAGGTTTTCATACTTCTTTTAAGCATTGGTGTCTTCTTAGAATTTGTCATTCGTTTCACTAGATTCTTCAACTTGGTCCCTTGCCCTAGGGACATCCAACAAAGGAATCCGAGTTACCTGCTCTGATGTAGCATTCCCAATTACACGACCACTCCTTAAGATGACTGCATGTCACCCTCCTTAGGATTTGGTTCCGTGTTACCCGATAAATCAAATTACCTTCTGGTCTAACCGACATAGCTTGAGAAATTGTACAAATTTGTGCTTCGAGGTTCTGGACTAGAGCTTGTTGATTCCTTTGGCCAATTACTTTTATTCTCAACAAACTTATCAGTAAAATATTTTCTTCTCAAAGCGCTATAGACAAATTGTCCCACCATATCCTCCACTCTATTCATCAAGTATCATTTTGATGAATAAAAGTAAGAATCTAAATCGATGGAATTTTGAACTCTCTATCCTTTCATCAATCCCTTCATCTCACTTTTCTCCCAAATGGTAAGATAAATTTATCAAAGGCAATCTATCTGTCCTTAACTAGTTATCAAACCTTTAAAGCAAAATTTTCGTTCCTTTAAGTACAAGACCTACTCACCCATCTAGCAAGTGGTGGGAGAGACAGTGTTGTTTTGCACAAATTGTTCGCTCATAGGAGGATAGGAGAAAAACAATTTTAGTTCTTTACCATCAACACCGACAACCCAATTTGTACCTCAAGCCCAGTTCTCTGAGGTAGCTAGTCTTAAACACGAAGATGTACTTAAATTCATAAAAAAGTAGATGCAAATTGTAATTTCGTTCAAGATGCTTGATTCAGAAAGAAAGAAAGAAAGAAAAGCAGACGAAGAAGTCTAAAATTAGGCATGGAATATAAAGAGAGGATAACGTGCATTCAAGTTATTGCTCTTCCTCTTAATGTATGTCTTCTCTCGTGATCATCCAAGTCTTGAAGGCCTTGCACTAGTTGTTGTCGTGGGAATAAGACACAATTTTTCTTTCCTCCTGATCGCAGTATCAAAGTGCTCGGTCATGTCTAGATCTTCTGGTCTCATGTCGCAAGGGAGCTTCCAGTCAAAATGAAAAAGTAAATTTGCCAATGTAAGTTCAACTATGGGCATCGCAAATTGTATTGCAGGGCACATCCTCCTTCCACCTCCAAAAGGCAAGAATGTGAAATGTGTTCCTTTGTAGTCAATTGCAGAGTCGAGAAACCTCTCTGGATTGAATTTCTCAGCTTCACCCCAATAAGCAGGATCTCTTCCTATAGCCCACATATTGATCATGATTCGACTCTTTTGTGGGACGTGAAATCCATTAATCTCCATACTCTCTCGACTTTCTCTCGGAAGTATTGGACCAGCAGGGTGCAGCCGAAAAGTCTCTTTGATAACTGCGTTCAAGTACTCCAACTTATGGAGTCCTTCCTCATCAACTTCGTCACGAAAGACACTTCTCACTTCTTTCTGTACTCTTTGCATTACCTCTGGATTTCTCATAATTTCAGACATCGCCCACTCTATTGTTCCGGGTGTTGTGTCAGCGCCACCAATAAACACATTCTGTATCAAATTAAAGAATAGGTACATTATACTTTAGATGGATATGATTTGAAGTAAAGAAAGACAGAGAGATGTGTTATATATAAGACTGCAATTACTTACAAGGAGAACTGCTTTCATGCTGTCCATGGTTAAGGGGAGGTCGAGGTGATCAGCATTCTCTTGAAAGTTGAGAAGAATATCTACGAGATCCTCTCTGGCTCCATCATCATCACCATCATCATCAGTACTAGTTTGGAGTCGTCGTCGCCGTCGTGCTCTGTTTTCCATGTGTTGGTTGATTACTTCGTCGAGCATCGAATCCGCTGCTCGATGAAGCGCGACGAGATTCGATCGATGCCCACTAATAACCGGAATCAATCCGATCGATGGGAAGAGATCCGAGACCCGAAACCCTCCACCCGAGCTCACCATACTCTCCACAACCGGGAAAAAATTCGCACTCTGTTTCGGGGCATTGCCGAAAGCCGACCTGCTAGTGATGGAATTGGTCAACGAAATCACCATGGGTTTCAAATCCACGGGGTTTCCCTCGCTGGCGCAAATAGAGGCGACGAGATTGGCGACCTCCTGGAGCCTGATTGAACGGAAGGACAGGGCGCGCTTGGCGGAGAGCAGCTCCATGGTGCAGAGCTTCCGCATCTGTCTCCAGTGGTCGCCGTGGGGAGAAAAGACCAGATCCTTGCAGCCGTAGAAGATGATTTCCTGTGCGAGGCCGGAAGGTCTCGAAGCGCAGGCGCTGTCGTGGGTTTTCAGCACTTGTTCGGCGGCTTCAGGGGAAGAGATCAAGATGTCGGAGTGCTCACCGAGCTGGAGCTGGACCACGGCGCCGTATCTCTTGGAGAATTCGGACAGGACTTGGTATGGCTGCAGGTGCCTGCTCATCATGATTAGCTGGTGGAGGTTTCCGATGACGGGGAGCTTCCATGGCCCCGGCGGCGGCGGTGGTAATTTCGATTTCTTTCTCATCGTTCTTCTAATTACCCTCGCTCCAGCCACGATTCCGAACAATGTGAGTAGAAATCCCCAAAAGAAACAGTGGGGTAAGCCCGTCTCCATTGATTCCTTCTCCTAATCTGATTTCAGTAAAGAAAGCTCTAATCAGGATCCGGGCTTGGTCGATCAGGGGATTAATTCCCCTCCCGTTTATATAATTGTAGATGCATACACAAAAGCAACGGTTTGCCTGCAGCTGCAGGCAGGATTCACTTGACTGAATATGTTATTAGACAACGCCGGCAGCGGCAGGCAGGCAGGCGGATCGGCCGGCCGATTGATATCCGAGTTTGACCACTAAATAAGTTCTTTCTGCGAATACATTAACAAAACATTATCATGTGTGCTGCAGCTCCCAAGTATCTCTCATCCTCAACCATTTCTGCAAACCAAGAAACATAACCCTCGCTGAGATTCGCCTAAATGCCCTCGGACTAATCATCAACACTCATGAGTTGACACGTGTTATGGACCACCCGGATCTTCTGCGTATGGACTTTGCGAATGGGCTAAAATTTGAAGTGTTTGCTGATAAAAGCCCGTCAGTTGTAATAAGATCCTGGGTTTGGGCTAATGGACCCAATACTAAAAAGAACAAATTAAGGTGTTGGCTAATGAACCCAATACTCCAATACTATCATACTATCTAGTAACCATTTTAATCGGTGATATTTGAATAATTTGGTTAAATTATTTAACTTGTTTGATTTGGACGGTTTCGTGTGATTTCAAACACTCCTAACCAATTAGCCATCTCTAATATATTATATAACGTACTTAATATTTTGCATATCCACTCAAAAGTCAAGTGTTCCTTCCTTCCAAAGGAATGGCAATGGGGCAGGCCCGAGCCAGGTATGTCGATACCCATACCCGCCCGGTGAGAGGTCGGATAATTTATCATGGGGCGCGAGTCGGGGCAGGTCGACCCTAGGGTATGTAATTATGTGAAAACTTTAAAAATATTCATTTTTTTTTTCCATAAAAAAACGAAGAAATAAACCATAATATGATAAAATGTAGATAAAGTATTGGAGAAATTGAGGTTTTCGCTTATTTACAACTTTATTATAGCTAAAATATGAGGTAATATGAGGAAAATTCTAAGTAATTTGACTAAAATTACATGTAATTTAGGCAAGAACGAGTCGAGAATGGGGCGGGTCAGGGCAGGTCGGGTCGACGAGAGGTATCCATGCCAGCCCCGCCCCGCCCCAAAACAGGCCAAACAGGTCGGGTAAAACGGGTCAGGTCGAAATTGCCATCCCTACTTCCAAGCCCACAAAAATAAATAAAATTCGTTAATGTTCTATACTAGATTTGTTCTTGTAGAGTATAGACAACAACACATGTGCACCTAATTTCGATGATGCTCATACATTATCTAGATAAAAATCTGAAAAAGAAGAGATTTTTCAGTCTCTAATAATTGCTAAGAGACTAAGACAAATCACACAGATATACTCAATTTATTAATCACGTACCATTGACATATATTTTTGTTAGGTTGCTACTTTTAATGACTATAAGATAACTATATTAGTTTGCATGAATTTATGTCAAGAGTTAACTATATATTAATTTTTAAATTTTATTCATTATATCAACTATGAATTGATGCATTATAATGAGATTTTTTCTCATTAAACTTTAGTTTAAACCTGGTTAACCAATTAAGATGTAGTTTGATTAATTTGATTGTTCTATTAGTTTGGTCGGTTTGGTTATGATATTGTAAACCATGTTAATAAAATTTAGAGTTAATTGGTTTGGTACTTATCGTGGTCCAAGTTTAATGATTTGCTTAAGGTCTCCAATGACACCAGTGTCAAGAAGAGGAGACTTAAACACTTTGAATTTGAAGACTGATGCCCCAAGTTCAAGTTCATGGGCAAAGAGAAGATGAAGGATTTCAATTTGGTTATTATAGTGAAGAAATAGCGAAGAGTTATTAAAACCCACCAAAACCCACAAAACTCGTATCTTACCACTCCAAATACGATTCATACCACCCCGATATCACGTCAGAGATGGTATGAAATTATATCAAAAGAAAGTTTTAGGTCACATGTTATTTATTTCTCACCATTATCAAAAAAATCAAAGGGCTGTTTGTTTCAACAAAAGATCTCATATTGTAGACGAATCATGATCAAGACAGTCTCAGAGGCTCCCAGCGCGTGGACCATACACATATATATGGACATCAAACTCGAGTTATCACATAACAACCTAAATGACCTTGCCCGCCGATGCCTGGTCCAGGTTACGTTGCAACCCGTCGCTGTCCTTCATCGGAATCTAAAGTTGCAACACGAAAAGAAAGAAATACACCACAACAAAAACATGGCGCTGAATTCAACGAGAGAAAAAAAAAACATGGTACTGATCTCGACTTCGATGTAATACATCGAGAGTATCTAATAATTTATCGGAAATTCCTACAATACCTTGAAGTTATGGTAACTTGATGTTTTTATCTGCTATAACAGGTTTCACAAGTCGCATTACGTAAAATACAATAGGCATTACGTAATGGTTACGTAATGTGTGTTTATCTTACGTAATAGTTGAAAAATGTCATTACGGAAACCTTACGTAAGAGACTCATTTTACATAATGAATATTAACCTTTCGTTACGTAATCTGTTGAATCATTACAGAAGGCTTACGTAACACTTCTAATTTAACTGTTACGTAAGAAATAACTATCGTTACGTAACCTTTATGTAATAGATGCATACTTTACGTAACAGTTGTAAAGTGACATTACAGAAGCCTTACGTAATGGATGGTCCTTTTACGTAATGATATTAATCAAGTTACGTAATGTGGTAAGTCATTACGGAAGTCTTACGTAACACTTCTAATTTAACTGGTACGTAAGAAATAACCTTCGTTACGTAACCTTTACGTAATGAGCGTGTATTTTATGTAACAGTTGTAAAATGTCATTACGGAAGCCTTATGTAATAGACGATGCTTTTACGTAATGAATATTAACCTAGCGTTACGTAAAATGATAAGTCGTTACGGAAACCTTCCGTAACGCTTCTAGTTTAACTGTTACGTAAGACTAACAAGCATTACGTAATTGTTACGTAATAAACATTAGTTTTACGTAGGGCTGTCAGTCGGTCGGTTTCGGGTTAACCGAAAACCGATTTCTCGGTTATCGGTTAAACCAAGACGACGCTGACAACTACCGACCACCGACCGCCCGTCATGCCACGGTTAGCCGCAGACCGATTGACCGGTTTTCGGTTGAACCCTCGGTTAACCTACCGTCGAAATAAAAGGGGAAAAACTCAAAACCCAGTGCCCATCTCTTCTCATCTCATCTCCTCATCCCTCCCACCGCACCCACCAATCCGGCCACCGCTACCAAGAAGGAGGAGAAGGAGGAAGGACGGCGGCGGCAACGACAACTCTTATCTCCTCCGATCTAGTATCCCTCAACTCGCTACAATCCTCCAGCTGCACCCACTAATCCCTAGATTCAGAATCGATCTAGAGATCTGCCTGCATGGCTGCATCTCCAGACCAGATCGAAGAGATCTGGCTTCTTTCCTCCAACAATCGCCGCCGGAGTAGGGGAGTGGCTGGGTGGAGGAGGGGAACGGCGGCGGAACTGGGTAAGGGGATTGGCGATGGGGTCACGAGCCCCTGCTTCTTGGCGAGGAATAGAACCGCGCAGATGCAGGTCTGGTATGTGCCGCCGCAGGCGCGGAGGTTGTCGGAGATCCAGTCATGGAGGCGCTCGCAGTTCTTGATGAGGCCCGGGAGGCTGCCGAGGAGCGGAAGATGAAGGTGAACCAGAAGAGGTAGGCGGTGACTAAGGAGAGGAAGAGCAGGGTCGTCGGCGGGAAAAGCTTTAGGCGAGAGAAGATAATCAGAACAAGTGATGGTGACAATGCGAATGGGGAGATCATGACCTTCCATTTCATCGATTTCCTAGGAGTTGGAGCTACCAATTGATGATGATGAAAAATATGAAGCTGGGCCTTTTGTTCTTTTTCCCTTTTTCCCCCTTCTTTGGTTCTCTTTGCGATTCAGGTTGAATTTTATGAGGCAGGGGAAAGTGCTCTGAAACAGAGGGGAATTTTATGGAGCAAGGGAAAGAGTTGGGGCCGGTGGCGGGGGGGTTTGGGATTAGGGTTTCCATCTCATAGGCAGGGGGGGTCGTTTTGGCTTTTGGGTGGGATTGGAGCGGGGTCGGTTTGGGCTGGGATGCAGGATCGTTTTGTATTAAAGGGGAGGAGTTCGGTTATCCGGTTAACCGCCGGTTTCCGACCACGGTTAATCGGCTAGCCGAGCATCTTCCCCTCTATTCCGACAACCGACCGCTGACACTTGAGGACGGATTTCGGTTAGTCGAAAACCGGTCGGTTCGGTCAAAACCGACCGGTTAACTGTTAACCGAAAACCGTTCTGTCAGCCCTAGTTTTACGTAACGCGACCTATAAAACCTGCTATAGCAGATCAAAAACGTCAAGTTATAGTAACTTCAAGGCATGTTAGGAGGTCTCTAATTTCTTGCTTATTGGACGTTGGTGATGGTCCTATATAATATGAATCGCAAGCATCCCTACCTATAAGAAGAGAGAACAATTACTAGTTCTCATCGAGAGAGACTATACTAGTTTTCCTTTGCAATCATGACGAACCAGGATTCGAGGAGATCGGCCAATTACAAGCCAAACATATGGGAATATGGCTTCCTACAATCTCTTTCTGCCACTGACCAAGTACTCTTCTTCTTCTTCTTCTTCTTCTTCTTCTTCTTCTTCTTCTTCTTCTTCTTCTTCTTCTTCTTCTTCTTCTTCTTCTTCTTCTTCTTCTTCTTCTTCTTCTTCTTCTTCTTCTTCTTCTTCTTCTTCTTCTTCTTCTTCTTCTTCTTCTTCTTCTTCTTCTTCTTCTTCTTCTTCTTCTTCTTCTTCTTCTTCTTCTTCTTCTTCTTCTTCTTCTTCTTCTTCTTCTTCTTCTTCTTCTTCTTCTTCTTCTTCTTGCTTACGTCAAGAGAATGATATATCATCTCCTTACTGTACAATATTATTTACAGGACATTAAGGAATACGTTGCGAGCTGAGAAGTTAAAAGAGGAAGCGAAGTTTCTCTTTGCGGAAGCAGCAGACGACCTGGTGGCTAAGCTGGAGCTGATTGACAGCGTGAGGAAGCTAGGGTTAGACAGCTTCTTTGCGGATGACATCAAAGAAGGTCTCGATGCACTGTCCATATCCATCGGAGATTCAAGTTTCCACATGATCGTGAAACGGAACCTCCATTTCTGCGCACTGTCCTTCAGGCTGCTTCGACAATGCGGCTATCGTGTCTCTCAAGGTACGTTTCGGATTGGACCATTTCGTCTTCTCTCTCGACTTCGTATAGTAACCGATTTGCGTGGAGAAAATTTACACCACGTCCCAGAGCCGAGCTTTAATTTGCTTGCCTAACTAAACTATCGCTTTAGTTCTGGTTGGTTGATTTGGTGGGCATTGCGGCTAGAAGCATTTAAGAAGTGTGATGTGAATTTGTACCGCGTGACATCTCATATGGTGTGACAATGTTTCATCATAGACACGTCAGTTTTTTTATTACGCGGTTTATTTTCAAACGAAAAATTTACCTAACTAATATCCAAAGAACTTCGCCTATTTTTCCGTCCTGTGTATGTTTTCAATCTCTTGATTCAGCTGAACTACTATTAGTTTTCATATTCAGCAACACCACAATACGTACTTGTCATCTCGATCGATTATATTTTAAAAATTCGTAACATATACATCACTATTCTCATTGAACTATAAAACTGGCGGTCGATTAACTTGTCTTTGTTTATATTTCTTTTTTCTCAGACATGTTCATTGAGTTTATGGACAAACCCTCGGGGACTTTCATGGAAAGCAAGTGCTGTGGGGACGTATTAGGGCTAGTGGAGCTATTTGAGGCCTCACATTTGGGATTGAAGGACGAAGATATTATGGAAGAAGCCAATCGCTTCTCAACCAGAGTCCTGAAGAGCAGCTATCCGAGGTTGTTGCTTCATCGTAACAACGACCTGGCAGAACGTGTAGCCCACGCTCTGGAGCTACCGATCCACTGGCGCGTGCGGTGGTTCGACGTGAAGTGGCAGATCAAGGTCCACGAGAGAAGGATGCAGAAGATGAAGAAGAAGGTGGGCAGGGCATTGATTGACTTGGCTAAGGTCAACTTCAACGTGGTCCAATCCGTACTCCAGAGGGATCTGAAACAAATCTCCAGGTATACGTGCTATACATTTGGCCACCAATATATTTGGTTGCAAAAAGCTCCATTTTTGCACATTATATATTGATGACTATACTATTGTGGGGATTTGAATTTGGGGGAAAATGTTGTTTGATAGGTGGTGGAAGGATCTTGGTCTGATTGAAAGGCTGGACTTCACGAGGGATCGAGTCGTGGAGAGCTTTCTGTGTGCGGTGGGACTGGCGATCGAGCCTGAGTTTAGCAGTTTCAGAATACGCCTCACGAAAATTATACTGATGATACTAGTACTCGACGACGTTTATGATGTTTATGGATCCATAGAAGAACTAAAACACTTCACAACTGCCATTGACAAGTAAGTAAGCAAGTTTTGTTGTTTGAAACTATAATAACGACATATGTTTAGTGTATATTCATTTTTTGTTTTTAACAATTGCATAGTCTGATTATTGGGCATGTAAATAATAAGCAGGTGGAAAAATGCAAGGGAAGTGGACGAATTGCCTGAGCCCATGAAGTTGTGCTTCCAAGCCCTAACTGATATCACAGAAGAAATTTCAGTGGAGATCCAAAATGAGAAAAGCTGGGATGATGAACACGTCCAGCCTCATCTTCAAAGAGTGGTAATTAACCAATCATTTAAATCAATGGTACTCTTTCAAACGTGTTTAATTATTTCTGAAAAGTTTTTTTTTTTTTTTTATAATTAGAAAAGTTTGGTTTCTTGTGTAATATAGTGGGGAGATTTCTGCAAAGCGATGCTAGTGGAAGCAAAATGGTGCCGCGACGGACGAACCCCGTCGCTAAAAGAGTATCTTACCAACGGCAGCGTTTCATCCTCCGGCACGGTCATCTCCGTTCACTCCTTTTGCTCAGTGTCGTCGTCGTCGGAAATGGAAAGCAGCTTCTTGGAGAAAAGTGATCACCATCTCATTCACAACGTCTGCCTCATAATTCGCCTCTGCAACGATGTTGGAACTTCCAAGGTACGTAAAGACTAAAGACCTAACGAATCTGTATGCTGATGATTTATTTGGGATTTACGAATTGGGTATGATTAGGATAGTGATACATCATGTATATACGTCGTACATATTTTATCCATTTAAAACTTCTGTATCCGTATTATTGTCAAGTTATTTAATTTTTTCATGTTTATTTGATGCCTCTCGTATTAAACACGTATAAAAGTAAAACCCATATAATTATTTATATATTAATTTATTTTTAAAATAATTTATTTTATATATTTTTGTAACTATGAGCTAGTAAATGGCATATGATATCCATAACTGAACATCCCAACAACTCGAGTTATTCGGACTAACTGGTTCAACCACTATAGATACTATTAAATGTATTATTAGTTTAAAGACGAAGTAAAATAGCCATGTATATTTACGGATTGTGTTTGTGTTCGTAGGTGGAGCAAGAGAGAGGAGAGGCGGCATCGTCGATAGCTTGTTACATGCGTGAAGCCGATGCAACGGAGGAGGAAGCCAAGGATTACGTCAAAGGATTGATAGCCAGAGCGTGGAAGAAAATCAACGAGAAATGCTTTGGGCCGCAGCCGCCGGCGACTCCCCGGCGATTCGTGGATATAACCACCAACATGGCGCGTGTGGCCCATAATCTGTACCAAGACGGCGACGGGTTTGGAGGGCAAGACCACAAACATCATCACAAGAAGCAGATTCTGTCTCTCCTCGTTCACCCTCTCAGGATTGAGTCCTGTTGACCGGTCAAAGTAAAAGAGAAATAGTTGGTAGAACGTAACTCAAGGCAGCAAATTTAAATGTCGATTCAAAGGAAAACGGATTGCAGTAATGAAATGGGTAGACTGCAAACTAAAGTATAGTCAGAGGCTGTGATTCTTCAAATTTATGTTATTAATCTAGTTGCGTATAGTAATTTGATGCATTGAATGTAGATAATATGATCGAATAACAATCCCAAGGATCATAATAATATAACAATAATAGGTCCTCAAATTGCAGCCTGGTAAAATCCAGCTCCAAGATCATTACTTATCTAGAAACGCGAAAGCCGGTTTGTTGGGTACCGTATAATTTGAAGGTGTCCATAAACTGATTGATTATACTAATTTAATTTTGTCTCTAAACCGTAATTATGTGGCGGGTTGAATGCATGGCGCGTTGAATGTTTTCGTTTCAATGAAAGATGGACTGTGTGCATGCTCTTGTATATATGTCGTCATGGTTGCGAAATCGTATCGTATCTAAAATAATTCGACATTGTAACTTATTTTATTAATTTTACAACACAAACTGCAAAGATTTATGGGAAAAAAAAAGTCTAAGCTCGTGGCACATTTGAAAAATTAACGCATTCTCATTAGTACACTTCCCATACCTAATCTCATTAATTAGACTGGATCGATGCATCAGTTAAGTATTACTAATGAGGGATTAACGGCGCAATAAACAAGAATTCAAATTTATCATTGTTACTCGTCAACCAATATGTACATCGACGAAAGCTCAAAAGCAATATACAAATTTTACTCAGAATTTTCTTAGTCGATTACTCTTTGCTTCCTAACCCAACACATCTAGGTACAAAGTTGACTATAATAAGCATTCTTCTGGAGACTTGGAGAGCGATCAATATTAGAGTACTCCTGATCATCATCATCGACGACTCCATTTCCATACATCAAAGGGACCATTTTGGCAGAATCAACGACGGCCTTCCCAAAAGCCGTCGGTAAAGGTACCGCCGGAGACAGATATTCGCGATTAAGTTGCTTCCACGTGTCTTCAATCATGTCAGTCACATGCCTCGTGGCTTCATGGACCGACACACCTGGATTCTCCTTCATGTAGCAATCCACGTAGGATCCGTCGTACCCAACTTGTTCCTCGTACTGCATGCAATCAATAATATTTCATCATTACCATAAAATTTACGTACAATTGAGAAAACAAGTATTCGATCGATCGGTTCATCAAATTGGTCTTGCATTTGTTTATCATGGAGGAAAGGTCGTCGGACAGGCGCAGGATTTTGGCGACGGATGATATCAGCGGCGGCTCGTCGCCGTCGACGAGTCCCACGTTCTGTCCCGTTAGGCCCTTGCCCAACATGAAGAAGAAGTGGACCAGCAGCAACGGGACTCCAGAGGTCACGATTCCAGTCTTCAAGTAGTCGTCTGATTTTGGGCACTCTTTTGTTCTTAGCCATCTGGCTTCCACTAGAAATGCTTCGAACAATTTTGCCCACTACAAAAAACCAACCAAACATATAATCTCAAAATATTGTTCTACTTACAATGAGGACGGAGATCGATTCCAAATGCGTATACTTACTGCTTGTTTGAGTGAGTGCATCGGATTCCATCCATGTTTTCTGTAAACTTGGTATCCGATTTGATTAGTCGTGTGATAGAGAGCCACAAAACATGTTCTCATGATCTCGGGTAGTTTTTCTACTGTGTCGGTGTCCCATCTGCACAAGAAATTAAGACAATCTTTCTGATGAGATTGCCAGGTCTAATATGATATCATTTACAAACACGACCACTAAAACGAAAGCCAATTTATCTGGACTTCAATTTTCTATAGTGTATGGATACTATACGCTTAGCAAATAGGGTCATCGTGACTCGGACAGAAGACCCCACTGTTTACAAAGCTCTATGTCATACCAAGAACCAGTTAGTCTCAATTACTCGAGTTTTTGAGAGTGATTTAATCATAAATCTTATATAATTCACTATCATGCTTCTCAAATGAAAGCCTTATTCAAATATGACGTAGAATATTGCCCAAGTTTGAATATCATCTGGTTAATGAATGAGGCCGAGTCATCGGAATTCAAACAAAAAATCTCTAGATCGTTATAAAAAACTCTCATACCATGTCAAAAATCCAGATAAGGTGAACATGATCCATAACTTACCTAGTAACGGCTTCTGCGAAGACTGTGAGTTCTTCCAACGATCCATATGTGTCGAAGATGTCATCAATCAAGTACACTATGGCAATGATTTTGGCAAGTTCTATCCTGCACTCGGAGAATTCGGATCCTGACAGCGTCGCCATAGGCCATGCGCTAGCTTTAACCAGCAGCCGGTCTCTCCCAACATTCGCCGCCAAACCAACCTCATCCCACCACCTGCTTAATAATCCATCAACAGCCCATTAACATTGACTTCGTTGTTGAAAAAAATGTTATGGTTGATGTGACTTGAATCGGACTATAAGCCGTTACGATTGGATTAGTCGGGGGTCTTGTTGGATTAGGTTTAGATCCACATGGACAAGTTCTATAAATACTTCTCATACTCCTCTGTAATCTGTAATCTACTCGATATAGAGTGAAATTGGCTCTCTCTCTCGCCTGTGGACTAGTTAACACAGATCGTGTTAGTGAACCACGTAAATCGTGTGTCTGTGTTTTTCGATTCTCGCTTTTGTATTTTTGCTTTATCGATTTCGGGCAATTTTCCGATCCGGAGCAACGCGTTTATAACAGTTATATATACGGAAGGTAGCTCACTGATTACGTACCTCGAAAGTTGGCCAAGTTCTTTCTGATGTGTCGCCCGATTGATTTTGCAATCCAACAATGCCAGATCCTTGAGAGTTTCCACGTAGTAGTAACTCTGCCGCTTGTTTGTGATTAATGCTGCCCTGAAGCTGCTCAAGTAGTCCTTAATCGCCAGCCTTGGCATGCTCCTGTGGCAAGGATGCTTCAGAGTATTAGCGACGGATTTTCTCGTCGCTAATTGTCCCAGGGGATCGTATTGCGACGGGTTGGCAGCAGCTGTCCATGAACGCAGCCGGCGGGCGCTGAATTCCCGAGCTTCGTGCAATATGTGTTCCGCAGGTGTGAGCCACTGGGAAGCCTCGTAGAGTTGCATCAGTGATTGCACGTGCTGCTGATGTCCGAATCTCGACAGGAACTTCCCTTCCCGATTCATCAACTTGTTAAACACATCTGAGAAAATAATAAGCACATAATTATCATGGGAATAACGAAGCTAATATCAATTATGTATTCCTCCCATATAAAGTTTTTTTTTTTATAATAAGAGTGTTATAAGTTTGTTTTTTTATTTGAAACTATCGAAGACGATTTGAACCTGAAATCTCTAGATAGAAGACTAGTTATAGATTGTACTACTAAACCAAGTCATTGTTCGATATACAAAGCTTACCATATTAAAAAAAGAACCTATTGGAAAGACCCATACTGGAAGCAAGGGTGGACCATGGTTCTTTAAGGGTGTTCCAGGACACTCTTAAAACATTGAGTGAAAGCATCATTATCCACGATAGGAGTTTAGCGTAGAGGCGGATCTATGGTCGTATAGGGGTGCACAATACGCTCATAAAATCTGGAGAAATTTTTGTATCGCCGTTCTGGTTGTAGGTATGAGTTTCGGAGAAGGAAGAAAAATGTTATTTTTTCACATCGCGGTTATTTTTTTCGTAACTTTTACTAGTAAGGTATTTTCTAATTTAAGAAATTATGTATTTTAAAATTTAAAATTATTATTTTAGTTTGATATCCGAAGACGACAACACTCAATAAAATTCCTAGATACGCGACTGACCTGAAGGGCAATGATGACCTTGTTGCCTCAACAAGCGAAAGCTCAAGCAAACCCGGAAGAGACCATCTTCTAGGCCGCCGCCCTCGGCCGCCATCTTGGCAGCACCGAGCTCATCGTTGAGAACAGCTTCGATATCCTCCTGGAAATGGTAGTCGATGCCGAGTCGCTGGACAGCATCAATCATTACCAACACTTCTTCATCTTTTGCCACTGTCTTCTTCGTGAACAGATGCTTTGCCTCTTTCAGCTTCCGAGCATGGTTTTCCCCCAGGCCGCTGCAGCACTGAACCATTGGTTTGAGACCACCATGGCGGCGGCGCCTAATGGTGTTTTTGTCACATGATGAGGTGAAAGAAGACAGCGAAGGAAGGAGGATCGCAGAGGAGAAGGCCATATATAGAACAAGCTAGTGGGCAAAGGTGAAAATATTCGTCTACTTAATTTATATAATCTTGTTTCTCTACTTCTGGTTGATGAATGTGCGGTCTACTTATAGTGGAATGTAGAGCGAGTCCTAGAGATCGAATCTCAATAAAGGATTACATTATATAATTGTATAATATAATTATAACAAGCTCGCGAACCAGATATGGGATCTTAATCAAATAACTAATGCTGTGATTTGCTGCCTGGCAAATCCCTACAAAATCATGTTTATACTTTAGTTTAGCTCTCTCTGATCTCTCTCTCGATCGTTTAATCTCCATTTCTTCCCATATGCACGAGTAGTACTGTTGCTTTCTTGATCTCGAGACAAAAGTCAATTAAGGCAGATGCTTAATTACACGAACGGCGTTAATTTGGGAAATATGTGAGGTTTTGACCTTTGTTTGACCACAAAATACATGAGTTGTGAAGTCATATAAGTTCGAACCAAACAATTTTATAGAACGATATTTGGTGGTATAATCAAGGTTCAACTCATAGTATCGGGAAATAAAATAAGTTTTTTTATCTTGAATTTCTGCTAATCAGACAAATATCAGTGTCATTGTTAATAAAACTAGTTTTTTTGACCGGATCTTCGATGAGGTAATTAATAAAATTAATTATATTTTCGGTAATAAAATTTCTGTCCCTCAGATTTAGCTTAATAAAATTATTCACTATATAGTTCAAAGGAAGACATTTTCATATGGTTTAAGGTAGTGTCTTAATTATTACAGAAGACTTATGTAACAGGTTTGTTTTGATTCATACATAAGTATATAAATATTCTTGCAACCTTCATAAGATTTTAGATAGTATATATTAATAACTATTATAGACCGGTGGTACATAGTCTTCCGTAAAGCGTGGTCTATTAATAAATCAAGTTACATATCTCAAATTTGAATAACTGTTATGTAAGATAAATTTATCTTGCGGAATTTTTAATTTATGTAATGCAAAATGATGAGATATTGAATAAAGTAGGTATAATAAATAAATTTTGTTTAATCATAATTGAATTAACTTGTAAAAAGTAACTTGAGAACTTTTTTTAATAATGAACCAAATTAGAAAGAAAGAACAAATTTGATCAACTATTCATAAGTGATGAAAATAATATCAACACATAATTAAATTATTTTATTACATAAACAATAAATAACATATTTATCACAATTCCCAATATATTTTTTTCCCACTCACTATTCCCTTCACTGTCCTCCATAAAACAATATTTTCCTTCACATTTTAATTTTCTCTCCCTTATTTTTCCCTCCCCTCCAAATTTTCCTTTCCCTCCATTTTCTTCCTTCCTTCAGAAACATAGTGTAAGTGGTCCAAGCGAAGAAGGCATCCAAGTTTGCCAACAATTGGGTGGGGAATAGGGATTTCAATGGGTCGGGTTTTGCCAAATTAACCCAAACCCATGAGTTTATCCGTGAAAAAAACTTGGGATAAAACCCAATGGGTAACCGCGGGTTCATGCGTACCCATGTGTTTTTGTCGTAAAAAATTTACAATAACAAGTTCCTATCAAAATAAAAGTCAAATATCAATCTCTCAATACAAATTATCCATATAAAACAACATTCTAGAAAATTCAAGCAAATCACAAATTAACCATACAAATTGTTCAACACCAATATAGAAAACTCAAGAAAATTGAAGCAAATCACAAATTATCCATAAACAACATGATTAATTGAAAGCTTCTTCCTCATTGTCAATTAAACTTCTTCACTCTCCACTAGATAATATCAACTTCATTCTAGACAATTAGAAAGAAAAAATTAGACACGTTTCCACAAACATAAAGAAGATTAGTTGTTTAGAATATTAAATATACCGGGAAAATTAATTATATGAGTGTGGACGGGTACCCATGGGGCGAGTTTACCTAAACCCAAACCCAACCCAACCCGGTAAATAGTGAACGGATTAAACCCAAACCCGACCCAAAACTCGTCAACAAAGGTTTTACCCGCGTTAACCAGGTTGGGTCGGATAGGGTAACCGTGGGTTCGTATTTTGCTGCCATCCCTAGTGGGAAACTCAGAGAAGCGGTGCATGTGACCATTCCACTAGCCCATCTACGATTCTCAGTTCCTTCGTCAGGGTAGGGTCAATTGGTTGGTTGACTATTTAGGCGGATTAGGCAGTCAGGTAAGTTTAGGTGGAGTTAAATTAGAGTGACTCGACTTTCTGTTAGCTAACTTAATAGTCTTGTTAGCCACGTCATAAAAAAATTGACAGCATTAAGTCATTAACGGAGTTTGATGGTGAGTGACTAACAATGAAAGTGACTAACAAGAAATTAAAAAAAAATTAGGTAGTAAACATGAAATTTTTTATTATCTAACTATCTAAGTGACCAACCATATAATTCAGATAAGTATTATTATAGTGTCATTGAATGCTGCATTACAGCCTGGCAAATCCTTACAAGATCATGTTTATACTTTTAATAGCTTTGTCTCTATTTCCTCCCACGTGAGTGCTATTGCTTTCTTGATCTCGTTACACAAACAGCAATCTGTGAAATCAGCGTGTGATACTGTGATTGAGCAGACGTTTGACCTTGTTTGACCACAAAATCATGGTTTGTGAAGTGATTTGAGGTCGAACCGAGCAAATTAATAGGATGATATTTTCTGATATAATCATGGTTCAACTCATAGTATAAGGAAAAAACATGAGAATTTATCTTGAATCTCTGCTAGTGAGACCCATATCGTTATCACTGTTAGTCTATAAAATATACAACGGAGATTCATGATTTCAATTTCTCCATTTTAAAAAAAGGTTAAAGACACATTTGGTCACTGAGATTACTAAATTGGGACATGTTTAGTCACTAGAAAAAATTAATATCAATTTTAGTCACTCGAATTACTGGAGCAGGTCACATTTAGTCACTCTCCATTAGTCTCCGTCCAACTCTGTTAATGAAGTATGTTAAGTGCTTATGTGGCAAACAGAGGTGCCTAGTCAGCGCTTTGGGCCGAAAATGGTCAAACCCGACCCGCCATGTCATATGCCCAACCAACCCATGCACCCACCCGACCCATAAACCAAACCCAACCTTTCTGATTCCACTTCTTTTCTCCGATTCCTCCTTTTCCTTTCCATCTCCCCCCATCTCTCCCTTCTGATTTCTTCCTCCAATCCCATACAAAACCCAATCGTTCTTCACGTCTCCAAAGATTCTTTAACTCTTCAGTACACCACCGTCATCCGCAGCTTCAATTCGCTCCAATCCATCAAGCTTGTAATCAATCTCTAATAGGAGATATTCAAAGAAATCGAGGAAAAATCAACAATTGAAAGGGTTGAATTCTCAGTTCCCAGAGGGTTTCTTCGCGGCCGACGTTCAGCAACAAAAACAGTAGCGATGACTTCTTTTCCTGATTCAGAACCGCCGGCTGGGCTTCTAAAAATTTTGGGTTTGAGTTGACAAGAACATAGTTCTAGTAGCAGGATTACAGATATGCCGGTGTTCGCCTGCGAATCAGACCTGGCGGCTTCTCTCATGGTCGCCGGAGAGAAGGATTGACCGGACTGAGTACGAGCGCCGGAAAGATGATGATGTCGGTCGTCGGATTTCTCGACGATAGGTTATGGCCGAGCCGACTTCAGATTTGTCGGATGGAGATGCTTGGCAGTGATGTTTTTGTTGTTGTCGATCTGGGTTTCTCGACAAGATGGTCGCCGGAGTTGAATGAGGCGGCGCTTTGACTCCAGCTGATTCGTCGCCTTTTCTTCCGCTTCCAGACGACGGCTGGGGATGCGGGAATGGTTGATTTCAGATCTGCTCCACTTCGGCACTTCCTCACGTCTTGGGTTCGGAGATCCCAATCGTCAGCGGTCTGGATTCACCAGTTGTAGCTTGTTGCGGCAAAGCATTCGTAACAACCGGCTTTTTGGTTTTTGATTTTTTTTTTTGTGAATGTAGATCAGATTGTTGTGGAGAGAAATGAGAAATGGGTTTTTTTGGTTTTCTGGTTGGGTTGGGATTTGGGGAAGAAATGTAACATAGGAGACGAACGGATTTGGTGTTGGGTTAGGTCGAATAGGTTTGTGGGAGGAGGTGGGAGGAAGGAGGAGAGCAGCTGTAGTGGTGGTTTTGGGGAAAGGAGGAGGTGGGAGGTGGGAGGAAGGAGGAAGAAAGGTTGGGTTGGGTCATGGATTGGGTTGGGTTTACTGACGTGGCGGGTCGGGTTTTATTTTCTTGGGTTATATATGGCTTTTTAGGCAATTTTGTTTGCCACATCAGCACTTAACGGACTTCATTAACGGAGTTGGACGGAGACTAACGGAGAGTGACTAAATGTGACCTGTTTCAGTAATTCGAGTGACTAAAATTGATATTAATTTTTTCTAGTGACTAAACATGTCCTGATTTAGTAATCTCAGTGACCAAATGTGTCTTTAACCTTTTAAAAAAATGCTGCCTCGTGAGTAATTTCTAGATGGGTATTATGGACACTTCGCATACATTAAATTATACTTTCCATATTGTCATACAAAAAGCCCAAACCCGACTTTCACCGGGTTTTTGGGTACAAATCCCAATCCCTGCTTCCAATTGGGCTTAATATTTGTTCCTCTTGGAATTTTGCCAAATGGAGCCCAATTCCCATTTTTTTTATGAACAAATTCCCATTGTTTGTGCTAATATTAGTTTCAAATTTTACGGCATGTGGATATATGTTCTTATGTGCCTACAATTGGAATTAATTAATTGATCTTTTTGATTCAATATAATTTATAGCTATATTGATATATGGAAAAGGATAGAGTACAAAACTCTATCCTACAAAACTTTCATAAAACCTCATCACCCACCCTCCATTTCATCCTCCATTTAAGGTCTCAGATTAAAGCTCAACAAGTTCATAAAAAATGGGGATTTTTTTTTAACTAAGTGGGTTTTCGAACTAAGTTCATAAAAAATGGAGTTGTTGACAAGTACGAAGCCAGACTAATCAGACATGCTCATAGGTCTAACATTGACTATACTGAAGTCTTCTTCCCGTATCAAGGTTGAATACTATCAGAATACTTTTTGTTCTAGCTACTCATTATGGACGTAGTATCTGGCAACTTGATGTCAAGAGTGCATTTATGCATAAGAACTTACTAATTAAGGATGTCTATATGTTAAGTAACGACGAGACTTTGTGGTTGATGGGGAGAAAAATAAAGTCCGCAAATCGGAGGGCTGCAATTCAAGTCAGAGGGAGGCAAATGGATGGACGTAAGTCGTAAGCCCGTCGGAGGAGACGCTGGTGGTGATCTAATCAAAATCAAAGTTGTACTTATTAAATATCAATAACATGTTTTTCATCAAGATATAGCTATTTTATATATAAAAAAATTCAATGGTACATAATACAACATAATTAATATCTTCATAAATGTTAAAATTAGCAAACCTCACGAATTTCCTCACGGAAATCTTAAATTTTGTTTGTCTAGTTCCACAATCTCATTATCATTGTGAAGTTTTCTATTCACCATAATGATTTCCCGTGATAATTTTATTATTTTCTATGACGAGGTATGTGATAATTTTCTATGACGAGATATGTGAAGAATGTTAGTAAATGGTATAAGATTTATTATTGAACATCTCCCAACAATTCAAATTAACGGGACGAAATAGTACTACTTGACATGTTGTTAGAACCTTTGATGATCGAAAGTTCTTGTGTTCGAATCCTGATGACCTTATTTGTTAAGCACATGGTATTCAGAGCCGTGCAAATTCAAGCTCGTATAATTGACTTTTGTTTGAGGGTGTGTGGTAATAAATTGTATAAGATTCATTACCGACCCTCTCTCAACAACATGAATTATTGACATTAAACGATTTTTGACAAAGATCACCATTCAAAAGCGAAAGAATAATCAAATCATGAGTAAGTAATTATTTAATAGGATACACAAAGAATGATATTGTTTGATAGTTTTTACTACTAATGTTAGTGCATGCACGTGCCAACATGTCCTGTAGAATAGTGTCTAAAAAACATTGGGGCCTCAGTCCATGAGCCTAAAGTGAGTTATTAGGTTACTTTTAGTTTTACCCAACAAAACATTATTGATACTTAGTACATCATATCACAACTCCCTTAATATATAAAACTACAAAATTTCACAATAATTTCAATCATATATATTTTTTTTTATAATTTTTCAATCATATATAACCTAAAAAATCAATAATATTATTTTAAACAAAATTTCCAAAACGCACACACTTTTACTCCACAATATAACTAGCTTCACTCGCGCCGTTGAAAATAGTGGGAAAACGGTAAAAACTAAATGGGAATGCTTTCAAAGAGCAGCGACTTGATGCGATCCTGAAGACTTGGAAAGCTGCTGGTGGCCTTCTCATTGTCATCATCGAACGACCCATCATTTCCATACACAAAAGGAACCATTCTCGCAGAATCGACGACGGCCCTTGCAAAGACGACCGGAAATTTCGTCGCTAAAGATTCATGATTCAGTTGCTCCCATGTCTCTTCGATCATATCCATCACGTGCTCACTAGCTTCACGGACCGACAACCCAGGATTCTCCTTCATGTAGCAATCCACGTACGACGCGTCGTAACCCACGTGTTCATCGTACTGCATGGGCCATGCATGCAATCAATTGTAGTAATTCAACATCGTACCAAAACAAAAAAAAAACACTAAAGTGAGAAAACGACTCCATTTGGCGGCGCTGGCTAGCTCTGTGCTGTTCAAGCAAAAATCAAGTCATAGATTGGTCAATCCAATCCCATAGATTCAGCCGCAGTGGAAGAAACAAATTAAATTGACTCGTACGTAGAGTATAACGTGTGGAAAATTAAGTGTCCTAAGAAAGCTGCACATACCGTGGAAGAAAGGTCGTCGGACAGCCTCAGAATTTTAGCGACCGACGATATTAATGGCGGATCGTCGCCATCCACGAGGCTCACGTTTTGTTTCGTTATGCCCTGGCCCAACAGGAAGAAGAAGTGAAGGAGGACTAGTTGAACGCCGGAGCTAGCTATTCCGTTCTTCAGGTAATTTTCCGACGTCGGACACGTCCCATTTCTCATCCATTTGGCTTCCACTAAGAATGCCTCGACCAATTTTGCCCACTATAGACGAGAAAAAAGAAAGAAAAAAAAAACATCGCCATAAGTAGAAATCCTTAATTTAAAGTTACGAAAATAAATATGCACTAGTTCGAATTTTGAGATCAATATCATACGTAAAAACATGTATTTGGATGAGTCAACTTACGCCTCGTTGGAGCGAGTGGATCGAGTTGTATCCATGTTTTTTGTGCACGTCGTAGCCAATTTGATTAATCATGTGATAGAGAGCCATAAAGCATTTCCTCATGTAATCAGGCAATTCCTCTGCCATTTTGATGTCCCACCTGCACGCACTCGAAAGAACACTCTTTTACGATTATAAATCTATAATGATCATCATCAAGGATAACAATACATATATACTCGATCCATTAATTAATACCTAGTAACAACGTGTGTGAAGAGTGTGAGTTCATCCAACGACGACCCATGAATGTCGAAAATGTCATCGATTAGGTACACGAACGATGTGATTTTGGCAAGATCGATCCTATATTCTGAGAATCCAGGGCCTGCTAGGGTTGACATTGGCCACAGATAAGCTTCGACCTGCAGGTGATCTCTCCCATGATTCACTGCCAATCCTATCTCATTCCACCACCTGCTCACAAGGTACAAGTACTTAAAGCATGAGTAATTAACCTCCACTTACTAATAATAACTACAATAATTAACTTAGGATGCTAACACTCAAGTTGTTAGCATGGTCAAACTAGTTCCAGCCAATAGGAAAATTTCGTTTTCACGACTTTCATTTTTATTTTAAGGGGTTCACCACATTTGATGCGGATTTTTAAAGGAAACGGTATGCTTGTCATTATTAAAAATTAGGACGCAACACACACGAGTTGCGGTGTGCGTTGCTTCTGTGTCACACGTCTCATCACAAGTATTATGAAGGATACAACAAAATAAGTACCAGATACAAGTTTCTTAAAGCAGACCCTAAACCGCATAAAGGAGACCAGAAATTTCATGAACCAGACCATAAAAATCATAAAGCAGATCCTAAATCTCATAAAGGAGACCACAAATTTCACGAACCAAACCATAAACATCATAAAGCAAACTACTATTTTATTAAAGTATATCACAAATTTCTTAAAGCACATCATAAACCTCATAAAGTAGGCCATAAGTTTATTAATACAGATAACAAGTTTCTTAAAGCTGACCACCATGAACCTCATAAATTTGAACTTTTTAAAAAAAAATTTAAAAATTTTAGGTAACAAATTAAATGTAAGATATAAAATTTTAGATAATGAAAAGTAAATCTAATTGAATTTTTTAGAACATATATAAAAAATAATTTGATCTACTCAATTTTAAAAATTTATTAAATTTATGTACCTAACCATAATTGACATATGAAATCCGAATCTATAACATAAGGGAAGAAGGAAGCTACTATGAGTGGGTAGTTACTACTTACTACATAGCAGCAACCTATCCCGTCCTAATTACTTACTTGGAGATCTGCAAGAGTTCTTGTTGACGAGTCGCCTGATTCATGTTGAAATCTAACTTGGCCAGATCCTTGAGAGTCTCCAGTACGTACTGATGCTTCAGCTTATCATTTGATGGCGTTCTTGCCGCGAAGCTGCTCAAGTAATCCTTAATCGCCAGCCTGGGTATGCTCCTGCGGCAGGGATGTTTCAGAGTATTGGCGACGGTTTCAGTCGTCGTCGCTAATTCTTCTAGGAGAAAACCATTGCCGACGGAGAGATTCCGCGATGGTGACCTGGTGGCGATCCATGAACGTAGCCAGTGTGAGCTGAAATCCCTAGCTTCACGCAGTGTGCTTTCTCCAGGAGTAATCCACTGTGAAGCTTCGTAAAGCTCCATCATTGCTTCCACGCCTTGCCCAAGATTAGGGTTGAACTTCCCTTCTCCATTCTTGAATTTTCCGAACACATCTGAATAACAGCACGTGCGTGTAACAGCATTGTGAGTAAAGAAAATCTCGTGACTTGGGCCAAATCAAAATTTTGGACTAAGGTTGTTGGTTAACAAATGTCTACGGGAACCAACTGGCCAGATTTTAGCATGGTAATCTTTTTTTTTTTTTTTACAAATATTAGCATGGTAATCATAGTAGTCTTAATCGAGATGTTCTCCAGAATATTAGTTACTAAGAACTCCGGACATGACAGTTGATTTAGATACAAGATGTAGCAGTCGGATTCATGTAAGATTATAGGTTTGATTTACAAATAGCTAGAATTATGAAGTTGAGATGTTTCAGTACATGCACAAATCTCATATTAGCCATGGTGGAGTCACCTGGGTCAAGGGAGGAATCCTTTGTATAATCTTGGTGCAAAACTTTAGTAGTAAAATTTGATTGTGATTGTGGATTGAATCCAAGATATATATCTCAGTTATCGTAAATAATTTAACAAAAAGTAGTAATATTTTGTGATTTCAATTTAAGTGTTTCCATAAAAATGAATATATTATGTAAATGAATTTAATATAAATGAAAACCCGAAACCTAGTGGCGTCAGTTGCTACCAGTTGTCATTGCAAACGTTTGGACGAAAAACACTTAATGCAACGAATAACGTGAAGAAATACTTTAAAATCAGATGAATGATAAAATCATAAATAAATTTTTTCGACGGGATACCTTAAGAATGACATCCCTCATAATTTTCAAGCTGGATGTATTTTAGAAACTTTTTAGAATATAAAAACACATTTTATAATTTAAGTATGTTTTTTTTCTTCCCACGTTGGATCTAGCTTAGATGAATTTCTAGCTACACCTATGAATATTAGTTAAAAAAAGGAGTTAGGATGAGAAAGAGTATCATATATACCCGAAGGAATGCGATAACCTTGTTGCCTCATGAGTCGAAAGTTTAAGGAAACTTCGAAAAGCCCATGGGAGCTCCCGCCGGCCGCCATCTTAGCAGCAATACTGAATTCATCACTAAGAACAGCGTCGATGTTTTCCTGGAAGTGGTAGTCGATGCCCAGTCGTTGAACCGCGTCGATCATTACTAGGGTTTCGACGGGACATGTAAGCATTCTTTCTTTCCTCGTCGCGACCATGAACGAACGTTGTGCTTCCTCGAGCTTCTGAGCATGTTTTTCCACGAGGCAGCATCGAGAAAACATTGGCTTGTTGCGGCGTTGGCTTTTGATGCTTCTTCGATGGAATAATGTGGAGGGAGAAGTAATGAACGAAGGCTGGATGGTTATCATTATTGTCTGTTGTGTTTGGAGGAGTTTATCAGTTTTAGGTGCCCTTAATTTAAATGTACCTCTAGTTACACACATATATAGTGGAGCTTTGGAGTACTTCCGTTCACTCCCGCCATGAAGGAAAATAATCGATTCCAATAACTCGAATTTTTGAGATATTTTTGAGAAATACGTCACTTAGAACGAAAGTTAATTTGGCGTTGAAGATTGGACACGCATGTCATATCGTATGATTAAATGATCCAACGATTGCAGTAAACTCCATAATCTGATATCGTATTAAAAACGGTTTGATCGTGCTAATTTTCTGTGTATATAAACCTCGTACTAGATATGTATATGAAGTTGTGAATGATAGAAATTGATGGAAGGTAATTGCATGATAGGCGTCTGAGATTGAGGTCATTTCCCCACACGCATTTGCGCTACAAATTACACCTCATACATATTCTACGTTCACAAACGGGTAGAAATGTATTAAAAAGCGGTGGTTGTGGGTTTCCTTTCAAGGAGTATTACTCGATTGTTGCAACCAATTACGCACTCGAAACGACGAAGTAAGCAAAGAACGAAAAATAAGGAAATGTAAAAGCCTACAAAACAACCAGCTGAGAAGAGTCAAAGAGACGCCATGCGCATGGGTCATTGCTGACGTCAGACAATGATATATTCGGGCCAGAGTTGTCTGTGCTTGACATGGTATCAGTGTCTTATGTGACGTAAAAGTCTTATGTTTGAATTCTTATAATCCTCATCCGTTCTGTTAAGCACATGATGGTTGGATTTGTGCAAACTTCAAACTCATACATATGGTGGTTTCGTTTGAGCGAGTGTGTTAATAAATGATATATGATACACGATTGAATTTATCCCAATAACTCGAGTTAGTTAAGAAATATACGATTTCAATAATCTTCTTCGTCCGACCCTCTCTATCTCTAAGTCTAGATTTTTCAAACATGCATGCTCTCTGAACATGTTGAACTTCGTGAAGGCTTCACTTTTCTTCTTCATCATGAAAATCCATGTAAATCTTGAGTAGTCATCAATAATAGACAGAAAATACCCGATGGCTCCAATAGATTCTGCTCGTGGAGGACACCAACAATCGGAATGGAGATAGTCCAGTGTCCCCTTCGTCCTGTGGATACCCTTCTTAGGTAACTTAGTGCGATGTAATTTCCCAATCGTTCTTGCTAAGGATATCACAAAAAATACCGTTCATGGTGGCTTGGAATGTAGAGGGCACGTTGCACTAGCCAAATGGAATCACTAGATACTCGTAGTGTCCGTTGTGCATCCTGAAAGCAGTTTTATGCACATCTGCCTCGTTCATTCTGATCTAATAGTAACCCGTCCTCAAGTCCAGCTTGGTGAAGACCTATGACCCATGGAGCTTGTTTAACATATCCTCTACTATCAGTATGGAAAATCAAAACTTAATCGTGGCATCATTCAAGGCTTGGTAGTCTATACAGAATCGTCAAGTTCCATCTTTCTTCTTAAGAAACAACACATTCAAGGAGAACGGACTAGTGTGGGATCTTATCTACTCGGTATCCAACATCTCACCCACTTGATTTTCTATTTCCTCCTTCTGGAATGGGCACAACGGCATGGTCTCACGTTTACCACCTTCGTCCCTTCTCTTCAATTGACTTTGATGGTCCACAGGTCGTTTCGGAGGTAATATTTCTGGCTTCTCAATTACCCAACATAGGAGTTCAGAATTTTCTACAAGTTTGTCGCGAGCTCCTTCGCAAGTGCTTGTGTTCCACCTGAACGCACAGGGCTACGAACATCACATATTCATCGTGCAACAATCCTTCCCACTCAATCGGACCCGTGGCAGTAAAAAAGCCATGTAATTCCCAGTCCTTCTCCTTCAAACGCAACTTCGTGGTTAATCTGTCCCAATCGCTTGTCACTAGCCCTAGGCTCCTTAGCTAAGGTATCCCCAAACTCACATCCAAGCCTCAAATCGGTAACACAAACAGGTTTAGAGTTACCTCCGCACCATGAAGGTTCACCCACACCTCTTCCAGTCGTTGCGTGCATTGTAGGGATTGACCCCTCGCGACCTTGATAGAAAAGGGACGAATCTAACTCACTCGTCGCATTAGAGTTGCGGCAAACCCCTCATTGATGAAGTTCAAGAACGATTCGGTGTTAACCAGCGTGAGAGGCATTTTCCCATCCAACATGCCTCAAAACCTCATCGTGTTTGGTGATGACGCGTGGTTGAAGGTGTGAAAGGGGATGGCCGCGCCATCGCTTGCTTTGTTCGCAGTTTCAACACACGTCTCTGCTGCTGTCGCAATCACCATGTTGCTACGTTGTGATTCCTCAACGAACTGAAGATACTTTTGAAACGACGCCCCCCATTGAAAACTATGATGATTTCAACAGGGATCTGATACCAATTTGTTGTAGGTATGACGAAGAAGATTGGGATAGAAGATGAACAGAAAATTGGGGATTGAGGTGAACATAGATCGAGAGAGAGTAGAGAGAAATAGGAATGAGGGATTTGGAAGTTTGCTTATTCTCATAATAATATTCTCAATATGACGAGATTAACATAATTAAATACTAAAACATGACTAAACACGCTTAGGACTGGTACTTCAGGTAAGGCTTCGGAACACTGCCCGACCGCCTAGGTAACCTGGTACCCTCCCAAGTATGTCATGTTCAATTTTTTTGTACTTGTCTTCTTTTACCTTTTATTTTGCAACATAGAAATCGTCCCTCACCTCCTGAGAAAGTGGTTGTGAAAGACCTTAGCGGATCTAATCCTAGCCTTCGGGCCAGATAAATCTAGTTACTTTACTACGATGGATCATAGCCACATACATACGTCTAACCCTAGTCCTATCACCATGCAACATAGACTTTACAATGACCCGTACGACAATAAGGGCCCAATCTAGGGATGGCAACAAAACCTGAACCCACGGGTACCCTAGTCGATCCAACGGGTTTAAACTCGTTACACTTTCATCGGGTTGAGTTGGGTTTGGGTTTAGGGATACCCAACCCATAGGTACCAGCCCACACTTATTTTGTCTCCTACTCTCTTCAAACCCTACCCTAATTCTAATTTTCCCCAATCTAATTTACAATTTGTACGGATAATTTGTGATATGTTTGAATTTTCTAGACTCGTGTTTTATGTATGGATAATTTGTATGGAGAAATTGATATCTAACTTTTATTTTGATATGAACTTTTCATTGTAAATTTTTTACTACAAAAACCCATGGATACCCATGAACCCGCGGATACCCAGCGAGTTGGGTTGAGTTTGAGTTTTCCAAACCCATTGGATTTTACCCCGAATTTTTTTAACGGATAAACCCATGGATTTGACAAAACCCCACCCAACCCGACCCATTGCCCGAGTCTCGTCCAAACCCATAGTATACTTGGTCGGCCATTCTCCATGGGAACCAATTAAGCTAGTTCCTTAAAACTTGCGAGAGTACCAATTAAGGACCCAGCAAGCATGTGATGGCCGATGTTTCTATGAGGGTTTTTTCCACGAGGGTTTGTCGCTTGATTATTCCCTTCCATGCATTTGATGAGATCGACTTCCTGATCGATGACTCCTCTTTGAAAGCACTCCCATTTCCCACCCACAGTAGTGCTTTTGATGCCGTGGTTAAGGTTTAATTTAGATTCGTGGAGTTACGCCAGCCTTTTGTGCGTTGGTGGGTATATCTTGAAATCATACCAACCAGTCGATCCCTAGCTTGCATCGTTTTCATGTGCTTTGAGTGTCTATGCTATATCAACTGGTTGGAGCTGCGAGGCTCTGTAGAAAGATTCCATATATCGTTTTGAAATATCGTTGGATATCAACAAGATGTAAACTTGTACTTCATCTCTCCATCGATATGTATTTTAGAAGTTTGGAATAATAAGTTGGAATATGAATTCAATTGAGAATTTGAGATCGATGTTGAGAATCCAGTCCAAAGGAAACGAATTCATTCTGGGCTTGAGCAGGAGTTGCAGGGCCAGTTGGGTTGGATGAGTTCTTTGACTTCTTTCTATGTTTTTTTTTTTTTTTTGTCATTGACTTCTTTCTATGTTGGTTTCCTACTTTCCTTTCGCGTACTGTGGTCCACGGGCCCTCCTAATAGGGATGGAAATGGGCCCAACCCAAGCGCGTACGTTGGTGATAAGGAGTCAGGACAGAGGACCGGCCCGCGTACTCCCAAGTCCCAACGTTAAATTCTGTCCACTGGGTTGTTAAAATGGCGCGTTGAGGAATGACATTCCGCCTGGCGTTAATTCATGATAACACACTACGTTATTTTGTTAGTAAAATACGGTATAGATACTCTCTCTAGATATGAAGGTTATACTCGACGGATAGGTGCTTCAAGAATTTTGCTGCAGGAAGACTTCCTTTGCGTTTATTCGTTTATTTATGGTTCTAGGCATACTAACAGGGCTGCCCATTTAGTGGCATAAACGGCCCTTGCATCGGTAGCTCAACACTAGGTTGACTACCGCTTTTAATTTGCAAAAATTTGTAATACGCTATCTTTTTACTATCTATCTATGGCAAAAAAATACGGTATAGATACTCTACGTAAATGTTAGTAGAAATATGGTAGAGATAAGTTACCTATAAAATATATACAAGTTGTTTAAGTTGTCTCTAAATTTTATAAAAATTCAAGTAAATGAGCATCTATACTCTAAAATTGGACATTTGCTCTTAAGTTTTTACTAATTTTTTTTGGGTTAAAGACACATTTGGTCACTGAGATTACAAAATCGGGACATGTTTAGTCACTAGAAAAAATTATTATCAAATTTGGTCACTACAATTACTAAAGCTGGACACATTTAGTCACTCGCCGTTAGTCTCCGTCCAACTCCGTTAATGAAGTCCGTTAAGTGATGATGTGGCAAACAGAATTGCCTAATCAGCCGGATATAATCCAACAAAAATAAAACCCGACCCGCCACGTCATGTATCCCGTGCATCTAATACAAAGAAATGAGTTCAATCTGAGCAAAAGTTGCAGGACCAGTAGGAGTTGGGTGGGTTCTATTACTTTCTATGTTGGTTTCCTACTTTCCTTTTGCATATATACTGCGGTCCATGGGCCCTCCTGACCATGGTAAAGGAAACCGTACCGGACATCAAACCGGATTCCTTTCTGATAGGGTATTTTGTGGTACGACCGTGGTTCAACCGTTTCATACCAGCAAATACCGTTTTTGTAATAATCATTAAAACACATGCCTAAAATGCAATGAGTAAGGAATTTGATGACTGGTGTATAATTCAATTTTGAGTACCACATAATAATTGACCTTTAATATATATATATATATATATTAGTATAAAAATCCTAAACCTAAATCACTATCACAGACAACACGTGAGCCCCCATCTTCTCCCTTTCTTTTCCACCGCCCCTCTGTCTTTCCATCAATCACCAGAAAATTAATCCCCTTTCTCTCTGGGTTGGGAGAGCTTTGTAGCTAAAAGCTTTAGCCTTCCAAATAAACCCAGATCTCAACTTCTTTTCTATTACAACTGTGAATTCCAAACACTTCCAATCAGGTCGGTGGTGACTTGTAGGCCGAGCGACAATCTTGGTTTCTTCCCGGGGAGAGGACTCTCCACTTATTCGTTTTCTACTACTCCGTCAATCCTCCGGGAAGGTTTCTGAACCACGCTGCCGCCGCCGATGGCCAATCCCAGATCAGGGCTGGCCGGCAGATTCAAATCGAAGTCAAATCCAAACCCACCGCCGCCGCGGCTTTGACTCTGACTCTGGCTCTGGCTTTTCGCCGCCGCCCCTGTCCCGATGGTGCTCTCCGACGACTCGCGTGCAGCCCCGCCGCCACCGCCGTTGTTGTTGTCTTTGAGGGTGCCTTCATAGTGGCAGCCCCGCCAGTCTGATTTAAACCGGACGGTATACCGGTTCATGCCGGTTAAGCCGATTAAACCGGCCGGCGCGATAGAAAGGTGGCTGGTAGGGTATCGTTTCGCTGTTGGTCGGATTCCCGGTTTTACCGGTTGAACCGGCCGGTACGATCCGGTTTCCTTTACCATGCTCCTGACCCAACAGTCAAATACACACTCTAAAGCCGTAAACAGCGCGTACGTTGGGTGATCAGGAGAGAGGCCCGGCCCGGCGACGACCCCATCCCCAACATTATATTCTGTCTTGTCCACTGGGTTGTTAAAATTGGCGTGTTGAGGAATGACGAGTCCGGCGACCGGCCGGCTGGCCTTGATTCATGGCAACACTCTACATCACTTGGAACGAGTAATGGACATGGTGAAAAGCCTTATTAATTTGATTGAGGTCTGAGGACATCGTATATTGATTAGTTACCGAGCATTATCATAAGCGCCCTCGATCTAGCTAGGTTGCCTCGCTTTTGGATAGATTGGTAGTCGATAAGATCGAGCTCGTCAAGTACGCATACATGAAAATTAGCATGTACGTTTCGACTTCGAATACGTCTTTATGTTAAAGACAAAACATAAGTATATGATGTATCGAAATTTTGTACTTGTCAAATGTCTTATATATTTGCTTGTTAGTATATCAAAATTAGAGTAACATATGATTGAACATATCGGGACAGAACACGTGAGAATACGGGAATGAATGGAACTGACATGGATAAACCTAGGGCTGGCTATTTGGTTCGGACTGTTTGGTTTTACCCGAAATCGGACCGTATAACCCGGATCGGGACCGGATAGCAAACAATCCAATCTCATATTCGGGATTAGATTTGAGGTAAAAAAACGGATAAAGACCGGATAAGAGACCCCCAACACCTAAAATCAAGATCAAATTGGGACCGGACCGAATCAAGACCGGACTGTATCCAATCCAATCTTTGGTCCTTATATTCCCGAAAAGACCGGACTGGGACCGGATCAATTTGGTCCAATTTAACCGGACCGGACCGTATAGCCACCCCTAGATAAACCTATGCATATGGTTTTGTACTTTTGTTTTCAGGGCACATTTTTTTGGTACATGTTATACACTTGTCTCATAGTTGTTATTGTGAGTAGGTGATTCAAAATGATGCAATAGTTACTTGTGATATGATAGACAAGAAAATACACGAATTTGAAAAACAAAATTATTCAAAATTTACTTTGATTCGAAGGATTTAGGAATTTAGAGTTAAGGTTCAAAATTGAAGATTCAAAGTTTAGAATAACATATTGATTAGTTGTGATCATATGTTATATAATCATATTAGACTCATCCGACAACTTTTAAAATTGGGTACACATTATCAACGCATTTTTTATATTTGCACCATAGAAACCAATATATTTAGATACTAGTCAGCCCCTACGTCACAGTTGCACGTATACCTCCACTTAAATTGACATGACAATATGACATCACCATCTTGCATCAAATAATTCAAGTAACGAGTTCCCCACTACTCGAACCCACAGAGAAAAATGGAAAGTATCGATACTCTTCAAACCATAATTAAGCCTTAGATGTTTTCCCAAAAAAATCCTATAAATGTGCCATAATCTCGATTCATCGTAGCATCCACAAATCTGATATCCAGAAAAAGAAAGAAAGCAAACAAACAAACTCTCCCAAGTAGCCATGTCTTTCTCAAACACTTTTTTCCTATCTTCCTTCCTCCCCAGAACTATTGATTATTACTTGGAAAAAAGCATTATCAGTAGTGCCAATCCTCCGGCGCCGGCAAAGCTGATAATCACCGGTCTCAAGGGACAACGCACGTCATCATCGGCGCCGCCGAAAGCTCATCAGAAACATGTCACTCTAAAAGATCCGATGATGATTCCGGCTACCAGTACTGACTCCACACGCCGCCACGTAAGCACCAATCCTTTTGGCCTTCGAGGGTTTTCATTTTTCAATGTTTTCATCGTAAAATTTTCTTTTATGCACGTACGAGTGCATGTCCATGACTCCGTTATATTGGAAAATATTATTTATACGTATTTAATGGTCTTGGGATTGTGCAGGATGATATTAGCAGTGTCAGAAGGCACACTCAGAAACTAGCAGAAGCCAAGTTCATTTTCAAGCAAACGGAGAAAAATGTAGAAGAAGGAAACTCCATGAAAATCTTGAGAATGATCGATGCACTGCAACGTTTAGGCCTCGACCACCACTTCGAGGGAGAGATCGAGGCAGTACTCAACCGCCAGTACGATAGTGCGATGACAAAGTACTCTTCCACCATCGTTGTTGACGATGACAGTACTGCGAGCCATGATCTTGTCGAGACTTCATTGCGTTTTCGATTACTAAGACAACAAGGTTGTCGTGCTCCTTCAGGTACGAAATGAGAAGAATTCTTTCAATGAGTTTGGATGGTTAATGATTTTTAACTATATGATGAAAGATGGAAATACGATGATATGGACGGAAATATTTTATTACCTTGGAAGCATGATTAAAATCTGATTTTTTTATATCTCGTAAAAGAAACTCATATGTTAATAATCAATTCACTTTTTTTGTCTGATTCGTTCTTCACGGTATCTACCATTTCATATTCAAACTAAAAAAATCAGATCGTTAGGCGAAAAACTCTCAGTTATTTTTCCAATTTAATTATGTCTATCTTTGATCCGACTTTTCGTAGTGCTTTTACTTCAAAAAGTGAAATTGGGTCGAACACAAGTTTAAACCAGGTTTTTTTAAAACATCTGAAACCCACTCAGAAGCTTTTATGAAAAAACTGCTTGAAAATACGAAATTATCATCACAGTTTTTTCGATTTTCCTTTTAAATTTTCTATAATTAAAACATATCATTTAATAATATTATTTAATAAAAAATTCCAAAAAAATTATTTATTCTCTTTTTCTTACTTATTTGTATTTTATATCTATTTGGCCATTTTATATAACTTCCACTAACAGACGGAAAATTCATTTCCAACGGTCAGAATTCTCTACGACAACGTTTCGACACGAGACAAGGAGCTTAAGTGGAACGCCGCCGTTTCAGTGCTGCTGAAGGAGAAGCCATCTCCTCGGAACGTCGCCGTTTCTTCTTTCCCTTTCAGTCGTTGTTTACTTTTGCCACAAGACTGTCTTGTTTCCTTTCCAAGCTTCAAAACAAACAGCAAACTTGCTTGTCTTCTTCCTGTAATGCTCTGCCTATAAAGGCCAGAGATTGTAATGAAATGCTCAAGTTTTTAGGGTTCAATCTCTTGTACCACTTCGTTGTTATGGTATCAGAGCCCGGGATAGAACCCTAGCCGCCGCCCTTCTTCTTTTCAATGGCGGACAACCAAGCCGCTCAACAACAACAGGCAGAGCAACAAAATGTGCCTGCCCCCATTCCTCTTGACCCTCTCTCAGACCCTTTCTTTCTCCATGGCTCCGAGCAGCCTGGATCTCTTCTTGTCGCTGAAACCCTTACTGCCACAAACTATAATGACTGGAGTAGGGCGATGCTCAATGCACTTGCTGCTAAAAACAAAGTTGGCTTCATCAATGGTACTATTCCACAGCCAGAGGCTACAGATCCACGCCATGGCGCCTGGATTCGTAACAATGTCATGGTGCTTTCTTGGATACAACAAGCTTCTTCCTCAGAGATCCGCAAAACCATTCTCTCAAGTAAAACAGCAGCTGAAGCATGGTCTAGTCTACAAACAAGGTATGGATCTGGTGATTTGATTCGGATTGCTGAACTGGAAGAAGCCCTTTCTACTCTGCATCAAGGTAATCGTACCATTACTGAGTACTATGGCTATGTCATCACTCTTCGTGATGAGTTAGAGAACTACCAACCCCTTTTGCCATGTACTTGCACCCCCACTAGTCACCTTGACTGTGCTGCCATGACTCGTGTCCTGCAATACCATGAAACCAGCTATGTGATTAAGTTCTTGCGTGGGTTAAATGACAATTATGCTACTGTTAGAGCTCAAGTACTATTTGGAGAAGAACTACCTACAATCAACAGGGTCTTTCAACGCATGTTACAGCATGAAAGGCAGATCTATGGTACACAAACTGGTAAAATGGTTGCATCCACACAGACAGAATCCACTGCTCTTGGTTTTCAAGGAGGAAACAGAAGGACTTCTACCAACAGCAAACCACCATACTGCACCTTTTGTAGAAGAGAGGGACACACTGAGGACATCTGTTTTCAGAAGCATGGATGGCCACCTGGCATGTCCAGACCTCAAGCCTCCACATCTGGAACTGTTATTATCTGCACCCATTGCAAAAGAAGAGGTCACTCAGAAGACAAATGCTTTCAGAAGCATGGTTATCCAGCTAATTTTGTCCCTAGGTCCTCATCAACTGCTCCTCCCAGACCAAGACCAACAGCTGCTCTTCTCAGCACTCCATCAAGCAATGATGAAGTAAAGCTCACTAGGTCAGATTATGACAAACTTATGAGCTTAATGTCTTCCACAAAGACACAACCCTCTTTCTCTGCTGCTGCATATGTGACTACACCAGGTACAACTTCTTCTCCAAATCCCCCAGCCCCCATATTGAATGCTTTTTCCACAAACCCTCCCAAATGGATTGTTGATACAGGAGCCTCTGATCACATTGTGTGCTCCTTAGCCTACCTCCATGACCCTCAACCATTACACAATATTTTCATCACTCTTCCCACTGGTGAACAAATTCAAGCTACACATTCAGGAACTGCCATCTGCAGTGATGACTTGCACTTACATGATGCCTTGTTTGTTCCAAACTTCACCTTCAACCTTATCTCTGTGAGCAGATTAACTTCTAAGAACTCATTGTGTTTAACCTTTCACTCCACCACTTGTCTTATACAGGATCTGAAGCAGACGAGAGTGATTGGTTCTGCTAAACTCTGCAATGGCCTTTATTACCTTGAAGCTTCCCTTTTTCCTAAGTTGATCTCAGCTGCCTCCACCTCCACCTTTGACCTATGGCATTTTCGATTAGGGCATGTCTCCCATTCCAAAATTCCCATACTCAATCAATTTTGTACCTCCATTGCTACTCTAAGAGATCAACCTTGTGATGTCTGTCATTTTGCTAAGCAAAAACGTCTCCCTTTCCCTACCAGTCAGTCTGTAACTTCTTTCCCTTTTGAACTTCTTCATGTAGACATCTGGGGTCCCAACTCTGTCCCAACTTATGATGGATACAAATACTTCTTAACTGTTGTTGATGATTACACTCGAATGACATGGATCATTCTTTTGCAACTTAAATCAGAGGCAAGACCTAAACTTATTGCCTTCTGCAATCAGATGGAAAGGCAATTCCAATCAAAAATCAAAATCATAAGAAGTGACCAGGGAAAGGAATTCCAAATGGAAGATTTCTTTCACAAAACAGGAATTGTTCATGAAATGTCCTGTGTCCAAACACCACAGCAAAATAGTAAAGTAGAAAGGAAGCATCAGCACATACTTGCTGTTGCTAGAGCCCTTCAGTTCCAAGCATCCCTTCCTCCTGCTTTCTGGGGTGACTGTGTCAAACACTCAGTCTACCTAATTAATCGTGTTCCAACTCCCATTCTCTCAAACCTAACTCCCTTTCAAAAGCTTCACAACAAACAGCCAGACTTAACTGATCTAAAGGTTTTTGGCTGCCTGTGTTATGCAAGTACACTAGCCAGCCACAGAACCAAATTCCAACCCAGGGCAAGAAAAGCTATCTTCATTGGTTATGCCCCTGGGATTAAAGGTTACAAACTGTATGACATCACCTCTCATGAGGTTTTCTTGTCTAGAGATGTGATTTTCTATGAGTCATATTTCCCATACAAAAATTCCTCCCCTGATCATGATTCTAGTCCTCATCCAGATTTCCTCTTCCCAACCCCAAATCCAAACAACAGCATCATTCATGATCCCTCACCATCTTCTCATTTATCACCTCCATCTCCTCCCCCAGCTACAGACTCTCCTACTGCTACACCCCATCCAGATAACACCCCTTCCCCACCTACCAGCCCACTGCCTTCCCCACCCAACTCTCCATTTGTTCCATCACCACCACCTTCCCCACCAATCCAACCAGTAAGACGTTCAGACAGACAATCCAAACCCCCTCCCCATCTTGTCCAACATTACCATTGTTATTTATCACAGGGTCCAAGCAGAACCAGTCACTCAAGTCTGCAACAGAACCAAGATTCAAGGTATTCTTTCCCTTCCTTCCTGTCATATGACAAACTTTCACCTGCTCACAAAAAATTTCTTCTCCACATTTCAAGTCATCATGAACCTCAATCTTACCAAGAGGCTTCACAACATGAGATCTGGAACAGTGCAATGCAGCTTGAAATTCAAGCTTTACTCAAAAACCATACCTGGGATGTGGTCAGTTTACCTAAAGGGGTGAAACCTATCAGCAACAAATGGATCTACAAGGATAAATTCCTCTCTGATGGTTCTTTGGAGAGACACAAGGCAAGACTTGTTGCCAAAGGCAACACTCAACAAGAGGGCATTGATTATCAGGACACTTTTGCTCCTGTAATCAAAATGACCACTGTCAGAACCTTTCTTGCAATTGCTGCCATGAGAAACTGGCATGTTCACCAACTAGATGTGAACAATGCATTTCTCCATGGAGATTTGCAAGAAGAGGTTTATATGACCCTACCAAAAGGGTATACTCCACCTCCTGGTATTCCCAACCCAGTCTGCAAACTGAAAAAATCTTTATATGGCTTAAAACAAGCTTCCAGACAGTGGTTTTCCAAATTGACTGACAAATTGGGACAGGTTGGTTACACACAGAGTCAAGCAGACCATTCACTGTTTTTCAAGGTCACAGACACTAGCTATACTTGCATTCTGATCTATGTGGATGATCTAGTTCTGGGGGGCAATGATATTGATGAGATTCAATCATTAAAAGAGATTCTGCACAAAGAATTCAGCATCAAAGACATGGGAGATTTGAAATTCTTCCTTGGCATTGAAGTGGCTCGAAGCAAATCTGGAATTCACATCAGTCAAAGGAAATACACTCTTGAAATTTTAGAGGAAGCACATGTCTTGGATACAAAACCTGTGACTACACCTATGGACTACAAACTCCACCTCAGCAATGGACCAGATACAGCATTTGAAGACCCTGAACTCTACAGAACACTTGTAGGGAAGTTGATCTACCTCACTACAACACGCCCTGACATCAGTTTTGCCACACAGCAACTGAGTCAGTTCATGTCTTCACCAACAATTACCCACTACAAAGCTGTTCTTCGTGTACTAAGGTACCTGAAGTCTGCACCTGCAACTGGTCTCTTCTTTCCCTCAACAGGCACATTTCAACTCAAGGCCTTTGCTGACTCCGATTGGGCAGCGTGTGTTGACACCAGAAGATCGACTACTGGTTTTTGCATCTATGTTGGTGACTCTTTAATCTCCTGGAAAAGTAAAAAGCAAAGAACAGTCTCCAGATCATCATGTGAGGCAGAATACAGGGCCCTCGCCCAAACGGCTTGTGAAATACAGTGGCTGCAATACCTTCTGGCTGATTTCCAAGCCTCTTCTTCAGCTCCAGCAACTCTGTATTGCGACAACCAGAGCGCAATTCACATTGCCAAAAACCCCACCTTCCACGAAAGAACCAAACACATCGAACTGGACTGCCACTTTGTTCGAGAGAAGGCACAATCAGGGACTCTGAAGCTTCTTCATATCTCCTCAGCTCACCAATTGGCGGATTTGTTCACAAAACCCCTATCTCCCGCTCCATTTCAGACACTGCTCTCCAAGCTTGGTGTGCGCAATCTTTGCCCACCAGCTTGCGGGGGGGTAACAGACGGAAAATTCATTTCCAACGGTCAGAATTCTCTACGACAACGTTTCGACACGAGACAAGGAGCTTAAGTGGAACGCCGCCGTTTCAGTGCTGCTGAAGGAGAAGCCATCTCCTCGGAACGTCGCCGTTTCTTCTTTCCCTTTCAGTCGTTGTTTACTTTTGCCACAAGACTGTCTTGTTTCCTTTCCAAGCTTCAAAACAAACAGCAAACTTGCTTGTCTTCTTCCTGTAATGCTCTGCCTATAAAGGCCAGAGATTGTAATGAAATGCTCAAGTTTTTAGGGTTCAATCTCTTGTACCACTTCGTTGTTATCCACCTTCACAAATTAAAAAGTAATTTCATCCTTTTCACAGAGTAAACTAACTTCTTATTCACTTTAATTTCTTCTCCTGGTAAAAGATGTGTTCCAAAACTTCATTAACAAGGACGGCAAGTTGCAGAGCAAATCAGAACAAGACATCATGGGATTGATCGAACTTTACGAAGCATCATATTGGGCCACAAAAGAGGAAACCACACTGGTCGAAGCAGGAGAATTATGTGCCCACTTGTTGGATTCAGCACGAAGCAGCAGCACTACAACTTTACAAGCCGCCACTACTGCTTTTGCAGACTACACAGTGAGACATCCTTCCCACAGAAGCTTACCCAAATGCCACATTAGGAACTACCTCAGCAATTTCCATGGCGGCTCGACGACCAAGCACTACTATGAAGACACGCTGGCTGATCTAGCAAGGTTGGAGTTCAATATGAACCAGTCTGTTTGCCTGCAAGAAGTCGTCCATGTGTCTAAGTAAGTACGATGTTTTTTTTCCTTCCCCCTTTTTTCGTTCATGGTGATTAATCCTGTTTGTTGGTGTGATCTGGTAAAGGGCTGGCTATTCGGTCCGGTCCGGTTAAATTGGCCCGAATTGATCCGGTTTCGGTCCGGTTAAATTGGGAATATAAGGACCAAAGATTGGATTGGATACAGTCCGGTCTTGATCCGGTCCGGTCCCAATTTGGTCTTGATTTTAGATTGAACTTGTGGGGATTTGAGTGGCTTGAGGCCTCAAAAGGTGAGGAGTTGGTTGAGTTTTGGGTGTTGGGTGTTGCGGTCTCTTATCCGGTCTTTATCCGATTTTCGATCCGGTTCCAAACGGTTTTTTACCTCAAATATAAAACCCGAATATGAGATTGGTTTGTTTGGTATCTGGTCCCAGTCCGGTCCCGGTCCGGGTTATACGGTCAGGTTTCGGGTAAAACCAAACAGTCCTGACCAAATAGTCAGCCTAGCCTAATCTGGTTGTTCTTTTGTTCGCAGATGGTGGAAGGAGCTAGGGTTGGCGGAGGAGTTGGAATTCGCGAGGAATGAACCGATGAAGTGGTGCATGTGGCCGTTGACGACGTTGATAGATTCGAAATTCTCCGAAGAGAGAGTCGAGCTCGCCAAACCGATCTCGTTCGTGTACCTCGTTGACGACATCTTCGATGTGTACGGGTCGCTGGATGAACTGACTCTCTTTACAGAAATCGTTGACAGGTAACTGTCGTTTTTCTCTGTTTCTCTCGCTCTCGCTCGCTCTTTTTTTTTTTTGGTGTGTAGAACCGCGCGGCGCGATCTCATGAGAGATTAATATCCATGTTGAAAATATATATATGGTTTTGTGCAGATGGGACGTTGCATCGGCAGACCAATTGCCGGATTATATGAGGAAATGCTTTATGGCTCTCCATCATGTCACCAATGAGATTGGGTACAAAGTGTACAAAAGACATGGATGCAACCAAATACACTCCCTGCGACAAGCCGTACGTAAAGGAATTTACTAGTTTTGGGGTTTAATGGCATTTGTGACTTTATGATAATAATTTTCAGCAAATATATATGTTCTTTCAGTGGGCGAAACTTTTCAAGGCATTTCTAGTGGAAGCCAAGTGGTTCAAAGGAGGAAAATCCCCAAGTGCGGAAGCGTACTTGAAGAATGGAATAGTTAGCTCCGGGGTGCAAGTTGTTCTGGTTCACCTCTTCTTCCTTTTGGGGCAGGGCCTAACACAGAGAAACGAGGACCTCGTTAATGGCGATGATCCTCCGGTGATCTCTTCCGTTGCCAAAATTCTCCGACTGTGGGATGACCTCTCTTCGACGGTAAGCATGGCTTTAACATTATATATCGACTTTTGGGTCGTCACATTTTAAGCGAGACAGTTTAAGGTTGGATACCTCAATACCCTTGATCATGAAGGAAAACCCTAGATTTTTTTTTGATGTCCCATCGAGTTATTATTGTGCATTTTGAAAGACTAATCATTATATGTATTTGAATGTAACCCAATTTTTATATAGTTGAATTCGATTTCACTAGATCTAACAAATTCGAAAATATGTCTCGGAAAATTCAATTTAACATCTATCTGTACATACTTAAGTTTCATGACAGTTCTTTGTTTACCATGCATCAATCCATGAAACTGCTTGTAGAAAGAAAAACAAGATGGTGAAGACGGATCTTATGTGGATTTCTACGGAGAATCCTCATCTTCAATCCATGAAGCCAATTTCACTACTTCTACTCAATACGACAAAAAATTTATACACAATTAAGTTTCAATTCAACATCTATTTATACACAATTAAGTTTCACGGCAATTCTTTGTTTATCATGCATCAAACCATGATCGATTGTATGTCAATAACATTGAATATCCTAACCCGTCTGCAACCGCTTGTAGGACGAGGAACAAGATGGTGAAGACGGATCTTACGTTAATTTCTACTTGATGGAGAATCCTCAATGTTCAATCGATGAAGCTAAGGTTCATGTAATGGATATGATTGAAGAGACATGGAAGCAACTAAACCATGAATTTCTATCTATAACACCATTCCCATTAGTTTTCAACAGGGCAGCCCATAATTCTGCAAAAATGGTGCCTTTGATGTATGGATGCGGGGTTGACGTTGATCAAACTCGGAGACTTCCAAAGCTCGAGGACCACATCAAGTCCATGCTCTTTGAAAGCATTCCCATGTGATATTTACTTTGTTATAACTTCACAATGTAGATATTTTTATTTTACAAATAACAAGAAAAAGGTAAATCAAAATATTTTCTACTATCAGAGCCTGGTTTCGATCCATGGACCTGTGGGTTATGGGCCCACCACGCTTCCGCTGCGCCACTCTGATCCTGATGGTTTGATGACCTTTTCCTTTCGTATATACAAGGTAGTGATTTGAGTATCCAAGTGAGTGGTTTTGGCATTGAGGAAGTTTCTTTGCTTCGTAAATAATTTGAGAATGAAAAGTCATCTTTTGTAATATTTTACTTTCGACAATAGAAGTTACTCGAAGGAGAATCCAGAGACGTCTATCAATGGCGTTAAGAAGCAAATGGCGAATCTCTATTTCCGATGCCATTTCCGTTAGCTTTAAACAGGGATGCCCATAAACTTGCCAAAATGGAGCCTTTGATGTATGTCTGACAATATTGTTTTACAATCAAAATCAGACTACTCTCTACTAAGGTTAGGGATAGCGATTTCGATCTGACACATACATACTCTCCTCGGCCTGACCTGCCCCATTCTCAATCCACTTAAACCTAAATTACAAGTAATTTTACTCAAATTACTTAAGATTTTGCTTCTACAATGCCTAAACCCCAAACACTGCGAATTATTAGCATTGCCGTTAGACAAGTGGACATCCAAAGAGTAGCCTAAACCCCAAACAAGGCTGCTTATGACCTTCAGAAAACAATACCATGTTCATCAGAGACTCCACTGAAACACCAAATGGCACGATTTTCATTCTGGACTAGACAAAGGAACTTCAAGGATTAAGAAATTCGTTGGTTCATGGGTTACCAACACAGTGAAAGGTGTCAAGTAAATGAAAGCTTTTGAATGGAAAATTCTCAAAGGTAATTTATTTCAGAATTCAGAGTCTCACGAGCTTGTACCAGTTTTGCCTTCCCAAGCTTCCCAAAGCTCCTCTGCTTCTACAACAGCTGCGGACCTCCTTTGGAAGGACACTGCCAATATCTTAAAATGGCATCTTCCAAGTTGCCATTTCTTTTACTTACAGCATCTTCCAAGGACCAGTTTTCAGCTAACGATGAGCTTGTACTTGTTCTTCTTAGCAAGCTGCACAAGCTCCTCTGCCTCTTGAACTTTCGACTCTTTCGTCAACTCATCAACAACATGCTGCATTAATTTCACATCAACACCACACTTCGCATGAAACGTATCACGACAAAGCTCGAAAGCAAGCTGCAGGTCACTTTTCTCACAGAGAAACGGAACCAAAGTCTCAAAGATGGCCTTATTGGGCGCAAGCTCATTCTTCTCAATCTCCCGATACCAACGCTTAACAGCTTCCAAGTTGTCATCTTTTACATGCCCCTGAATCAAAGCACTGAAACTGTGGGCATCAGGTTCTATTCCCTTGGTACCCATTTCATCAATTAGCTTCTCCGCTTCCTCCACTCTCTTCACCAATGCCAATCCAAGCATCCTCGAATTATAGCTTATGATATCAGGAGCGACATCCATTTCCGCCATTCTATTCCAGATGGACTCACCATCTTCGAACCTCCCATTTCTGTAGAACGCATTCAACAGAGTATTGAAACTAACCACGCTTGGGCTCACGCCTTTCTTCATCATCTCATCCAAGGTGGAAGCAGCAGAGTCCAAAGCACCCATCTTGCAGAACCCTTTCATGATCGTGTTATGTGAAACCACGTCCAAAGTAATCCCCAGCTTCGGGGGCAAATCCTTCACGATGCCGTCGATTTGGTCAAACTCCCCCGAATCGATGCAGGCCGAAAGCAGCGCGTTGAAGGAGTAAACAGTTCGTGGGCAATTAAGGTCAGGCATTTCGTCGAACAGCTTGCGTGCTTGTTTGAACATTCCCACCCTGCCGTAGACGATGATGAGACGTGAGACGAACTGCTCCCCGGTGATGTCTTCGAACTTCTTCTGATGCTCGACGATTTCTTCGATCATGGAGAACTTCCCGTACTTGGCAAGGCGCTTGAATGTGTTGAGGTAGACGTCGAATCGAGAACGGAAGTCTTCCGACTCGGATGACTCCTTGAATCTCTTGACCATCTTCCTGAGTGAGCTCGGCTTGGAGGTGGCTGTGGTTGTGGCGGCGGGTTGGGTGGAAGCAGCCGCCACTGTAGCGACGGAATCGAATGCGCCGCGGAGGCGGCGGTAGACGGATTGCGGCTGCGCTTTGCTCATCGTGGAAATGGTCGACGGAGGGAAAAGGGTTCAATGGGTTTACGAACAAGAGAACGCTTTGTTGTTTGTTTCTTTCTTGTTTCCCACTAAGTTTATTCAGAAAATAAAGCCCAATGGCCCATCTGGCCCATTTCATCCACTTCACCAAGCGAATCCGGCCCACTAAATCTCTCGTTTTACCATTTTACCCTATGTGGAAGTTCATTCGGTGTGAAAGATTCAATCAAAGGCCCATCTGGCCCATTTCATCCACTTCACCAATTCATGCTTCTGTTTTACCCAAGGTTGTTAACCCGCGCGTGTCGACCCACTTTGACCCTAACTTGATGAGAAAAACGGGCCGCACGCATTCACTAGGTCGACTGCTACAAGATATCAGATTGGAGGTCAAATTGTGTCATTTTTTTCTTTAATTTGCGAAATGCGCATATTTTCCGATTTTTCTTTTAGCCTAACTCAATATTTGGAATTCTAAGTTGAACATTTGAATATTGATGTTATATAAGTGTGTGTGAATGTTCACTATATGTTGGATTCAAGTACGACATGTTATTTTGGTGTAATATTATATGTTATAACTGATAAGTTATATGAGATTTGATATAATTAATCAGGATAAGTATAATTTAATAACTCTTTTCATATTTCCTGGCTAAACCGGGTGATCCATTTACCCTTGACCCACTAGCTCGATCGGGTCCGGATCAGCCCGCGGGTGGTTGTCCACAAAGACAATGAATCCACCAGAAACAGTAATTAAAATTAAATGCCATCATTAACGTTATTATCACAACTGAACTAAACACAATACTATAGTAAACCAAATACTACTGTTGTACTAATTAATCATTGACGCCACGACACAAAGTAGTCAAGGATAAACTTCAATGATGGATCTTGGACCGATCTTGCCAACGATCTTATAGCTACTATAACCAGCCGCCTCAAATAGTTTCTTCCATTCTCTTTCATTCCGCTCCTTGCCATTTACCATTGTCGCCATCATCAGATCGAAGCAGAGTTGGATTTCACGAGACAAATCGTCGTCGGCACTCCCAACTTCCGACATCACAATATCTACTATTATCACCTTCCCTTTCTTTCCCTCGTCGTCGTCGCCGCCGGACACCGCCGCTTCTTTACAACACTTCAATATCTTCACACATGACTCATCATCCCAATTGTGTAGGATCCACTGCATACATGTACATAGCCAAATTTCAAAGTCATGTCTATCAAATAAAAGAAGTCATGCTAATAGGGCTGGCTATTTGGACCTGGACCGGATGAAAAACCGGAAACCGGACCGTATAACCCGGATCGAGACCGGACCGGGACCGGATAGTAAACAATCCAATCCAATCTTTGGGCTTAGATTAGAGGTAAAAAACCGGATAAAGACTGGATAAGAGAGCTCAACACCCAAAACTTAAGGGTAATTTGCATAAACGGTCACAAACCTTTGCACTTAGTACAAAACTTAACCAACTCCTCACCCTTTTAGGCCTTAGGCCACTCAAATTCCCACAATCTCAATATAAAATCATGACCAAATTGGGACAGGACCGGGTCAAGACCGCACTGTGTCCAATCCAATCTTCGGTCCTTATATTTTCAAAAAACCCGGACTGGACCGGATCAATTTGGGCCAATTTAACCGGACCGGACCGTATAGCCACCCCTACATGCTAAGATCAAACTCATGTTGTTACCATAGCAACTTAGCAAACAATACGGTTTTTTGTTAATATATATGGCAAATGGTAGCGTACGTCTGCATACGATATAAGTTTGTGTTCAAACCTACTAGATGTGTTTTGATATACTTCAACGAATCATAATTGTTGGTTATTATTTTTAGATTAAATGAATCTTATAGAGAATCAGGAGCTGGTGTTCACTCATTAGGAGCTATTAGGGTATAGCATGCCAAACTCTGGTTAATTCATGATCTAGATAAAAAAAATTTATGTGGTACGATAAGATTATTGTACGCCAGCCTAAACCACACACATATATATAGTGTCTTCTATCGTAACTACGATTAGAGAAGCAAATGAGCCAAACTTTCTACGAGCAGCTCGACATATGGTTTGTTAGCTTATATATCGCACCACATTTGATGCTTATTAATTTGAATATGTGATCAAATATGTCTCACTTATTATTTAAAAGAGAAATTATCTATCATAAATTGCTTCGATACTTATAAACCATTAAAATTATTAACTAAATTATCATACACAAATTATACCACCTTATATACCACTCTGTTATAGGGTGGTAAATGATGGTAGACGATGGTTGAATGTTGTAAATGACATTAATATGTACGGGCCAACATATACACTATATTAATTGCATGGCATGCTAATCTAGATATGGTAATGGCACACACCTTAAGGAAGATGGCATCAGCATGTGGGACCCTCTCGAACATATCTCCTGCCACGAACTCCAAATTCTCACGGTGGCCGGGTCCCGCCGCCGCCGCCGCCAATCCCTCCACCACGTGCGGAAGATCCAAAACGACGCACTTCATCTCCGGAAACGCTCCCGCCACGGCCGCCGCGAAAACTCCCGTTCCCCCCGCCACGTCCACCAACGTCCTCACCCCCCGAAACAACAACGACGTGAGCGGCGACTCCTCCTCCTCCTCCTTGTTGACGCCGGCAGCCGACGAAACAAGAGCATCCGCCACCAGTTTGGAGTCGCTCACCATGCAGTCGTAGAACAGCCCCTTCAGCTCCTGTCCCGGAGCCGATGAGCCAGCCACGTAGTCCCAAAACGACGTCCCGTTTACAACCTCGAATGCGGTTCGCTTATTATTGTTATCAATGTTCCCATCGTGGTCGTCGTCTTCGAGAAGCCAAGTGTTGAGGACGGAGCAGTAGTCCCTCGACGCCGGATGGAAGTTAAGCAGCGGCAGCGACGCCTGGTTGAGAGGCTCGTGGCTGAGCAGCAGCCGGCTGGCCGGAGTCAAGGCGTACATTTCTTCTTCTTCTTGTTCTTGTTGTTGTGTGTGGAGGGAGAAGAAGGCGGTGGAGCGGGTGCTGAGGACGCGCATCATGCACCGGAAAGCGTGGGTTTTGGAAGGCGGGATTCGGAGGGCGGAGATGAGTTCGGAAAGCGAGGCGGCGGGTTGGCCGTGTTTGTGGACGGCGTCGGGGATGCGGAGGTGGATGGCGCATTTGATTGACATGGAGACGAGGTGGCTGAGCGTCCACCGCCATATCTGTGACTGAGCTTCGAGTAACTCCTCGTGTGATGAGTTCTCCATACTTTGGATTGGTATGTTAATTGAAAATGTGGTTGAGCTGTCCTGGTAAGGACGTACGTATATATACACGTGGATGGTAAAAAGGTTTGGATTTTAGGAAACGTTAAAGATTGTATAAACTGAGTATGGAAGAGGTATATATATATATATATATACGTGGATGGTAAAAAGGTTTGGGTTTTAGGAAACGTTAAAGATTGTATAAACTGAGTATGGAAGAGGTACGTACTCTTTTAAGGAGAAGTACGTGCTGCTTCAACTAGGAGGGCCTTACCCACCAGAATCTAGAAGCACACGCCATTTCTAAAAGGAGACAAAAAATGACTAAGTATGAGAGGTCCATGTCGCATCACAAGAAGGGACATGGACGCTAGACAAGATGACCTAGGCATGAATGAAAAATATTCTAAGTCTGAGAAGGCCATGCCTCTCCACGATAGAGAAGGGCATGTGCATGATTAAGAGGTCCATGGCCGTGTCATGTGATGGCCATGGACACGAATGAGAAGGGTGTGGTGGTGGAGTATTATATCACTAGTGACTAAGTCCCAAGAGGGCCATGTACATGAGTAAGAAGTCCATGGCCATGAGACAAAAGGACCACGACCCCTTTGCGAGACACCACATGCTCATCAAAAGACTATCATGGCACGAAATTCAGAGCAACACCAGGCGAGGCAAGCTACACTCCAAGACCCACGACGGTTTCTAGAGAAGTAACTAGGCAGTTGAGAGAGGAATTGCTACTCATCCCATGTTCAAGGGACACGTCAGCCACGTTCCTGAGAAGAGGGAGCGGTTCGTTAGAGAAGTTATCCAAGAAGCGGTTTTCTATGGAGGTTACCTCTCCATGGCTATAAATAGGAGGAGGGGTCGACAGAAACAGGGGTTCCACAACCAAACATTTGACGCTCAATGTCAAACTTTATCCTTTTTATCTGCAAGTAGCCATAGCTGTAGTTTGGAGCTCTCATTGATCCTCCATAGGAGTAGGAGTAATTTAATTTAGTTCCGTTCCCAAAAATTCCATCAATCAAACACCCTCGTTCGAACTTTGTTTGAAGAGGTTTGAGTCGTGTCTTAGTAATCGTTGTCCGAAGAAGTCAAAGGTGCAATATGTCTCAATCCAACACAAGTTTTCTTGCTGGAAAACACTATTTATCTATTTGATCACATGATCCACAGAAGCCATGCATTTTCATATCTTCCATTTGATCGGTATTTAATTTGTAGTGTGATCAGGGGCGTAGCCAGGATTTCGCTTAAGGTGGGTCCGAAATGAAAATATATAAAAATAAATTTAATTAATGTTTACAATGATCCACGACGTGTTTTCATATCTTGGAAAGTTTGTAAAATACACTCATCATCCAACCTATCTAAGATGTCACTCTCAACATATCCTACCAAAAAATCATTCAACCCTTCATCACTCATTCGACTTCGTAGTGTGTTCTTCACGTAGTTCATTGCGGAAAAAACTCTTTCAACACTAGCGGTGGCAACTGGTAACAACAACGCCAATTTCACAAGTCGATACACTAGCGGAAACGATCGAAACTTCTTTGCCACAACCATTTCCCTACAAAGCTCAGCAATTCCCTTCAACTTAGTGAACCTCGTATTCATCTTCACATCAAAGATATAACTATCTAGCTGAGGATCAAGATGTAAGATATCATCAATCGAGAATTCATTAGGATAGAAGGTAGCAAGCTTCAACAAATTTTCCTTGTCAAAGTCAGCAAATGCATCATCCGGATTTAGGCAAGCCACACAACATAGCAATTCAGTGTTCACCTTATCAAAACGACTGTTAAGCTCTTGTAACCGCATATCCACCACTGTATAGAATAACTCAACCTTGTAATGATGCAGATTGGTGATTTGTTGAGCATTTCTCCTTGGCCTTCCAGAAAGAATGTATAACTCATCCATGTTGGAAATGGGAAGATATTCCTTCTTGCAAAAGGAAATCACACTATCAAGAAGAGACTCCCATCCTTTATCTCTCAAATCTTGTAATCTAAGCTTTGCTCCACGAACAAGCTGCATGGCATTCACTATGTCTTGATCTTTCCTTTGCAATGATTTAGATAACTCATTAGTAATTGCTAACACTTTAATCATCATATGCAAGATGAATGCAAAATCAAAACTTTGGATGCATATCAATGTGACAGATGCTTCACCCTTTGCTTCACCTTTTGCCTCCTTTTTGATGATATCCAAACAATCAATAACAGAAGAGTATATCGCAGGCAAGTTAAGAAGTGTGTCAAAATGAGATCCCCAACGAGTATCACAAGGCCTTTTAAGACCAACTTCTTGATTTAAACCCCGTCCAGTCTCAAGTTCACCACAACATAATGCCTCAACAACTTTAGCAGCTTGACTTTCTCGAATGTTGTCCATCCTCTTACACGATCCTCCTACCAAATTAATCAAGTTGGTAATAAGCGTGAAGAAGCCACTAACGTCTCCATGTTGTTTAGCAACAACAGCAAGCGTTAACTGCAGTTGATGGGCAAAACAATGAACATAGTAAGCTGATGAGTTTTCTGCCAAAACTAAAGCCTTGAGTCCATTGATTTCCCCACTCATGTTGCTAGCTCCATCGTAACCTTGGCCCCTTATTCTTGACAAGCTCAATCCACTTGTCACTAGAATTGATTCAATTTCCATTTTAAGTGTCAAGGCTTTAGTATCTGAAACATGAGCAATCCCAAGAAGTCTCTCCATCACATACCCTTCTTGGTTTACATAACGTAACACAACAGCCATATGCTCTTTGATTGATGTATCACGAGCCTCATCCACCAAAATGGAAAACAGATCTTCTCCAATATCACAAATTATTTCCTTAGTTATTTCAAATGCAATAGCATGAACAATGTCCTTTTGTATATCTGGGGAAGTCATTTGAAGATTTTTAGGTGCATTTTCCAACACAACACTATGCACATCCACTCTACCAAAAGCATGGAACTTTAGAAGTTCAATGAAATTCCCTCTATTCTTCGAACTTTCTGATTCATCATGTCCACGAAGTGCATGACCTTGGCGTACACAATGCCTGATGCAGTCAATTGAAGCTTGCAAACGAATTCTATAATCTTTCTTTACTTGGTCTGACTGTTTGCATAAATCAACTCTAATGCTTTGTGACTGTGTTAACAAGTCTTCACACTTTCTCACAGCCTTATTGTGCTCGCTATTAACAAAACCAACATGGTTATCAAGAGCTTCATCTCCTCTATTCCATGCTTTAAAACCAGTAGAAATGAAAGAAGCACCTCCACCTTTTCTACCATCATCACTTCGAAACAAGAAACAATGCAAGCAATATGCAGCATCTTTTGCAATGCTATACTCCAGCCAATGATATTTTTTATACCAAGAAGCTTTAAAGCTGCGAAGCCTTCCCCCGACATCTTTAGTTGGAAAATTATGATTGGGTCGACAAGGACCTTTCTGAAGATAATATCTTCTAACCATATCTCGAACATTATGATGAAAGCATGATAATTGTTCTCTTAAGCCAGGATCAGCTTTCAATGAACTCACATCCAATTCACTTTCTTTAGACCCAAAGCAAGGTTTGGAATGATTTACCGGGAAAGATTGTTGTGGCAATATTGGTGGTGATGTTGAGCTAGAATCATGTGCAACCACTCTTGACCCGCCAACTTCATGCCCGTGAACATCTGAAGTTGTTGTCTTCGGCTTCTTGGGATAATATCTTTCCATAATCAAAATCTACATAATAGAAAAGTAAGCAGAGAATTAAACCATTAATCAAGAATCTAATGAGAAAGAGTTTCAAGTTCAAATCCCTTTTCCAATGAATAAGCTAGTTCAATCTTTCTTGTTTTGGCTAACTGGCCATTATTCTGATTCACATTGCAATTATTCTATTGAATCCCTCCCACTTAGTTACTTTCACAATTCCCTTGTCAAAGGCCAATTATTATATTGAAGTCAAGCAAACAAACAAAGCATGAAGGAAAATTGTGAATTCTTTCTCATTTAAACAACATGTAGAGATCCCACGAAGAACCAATTATATTAGTTAACTAATGTAAAGTGGGATTGTTGGGTAGTGCCATGGAATTGTATATACCTGAGCTGTCTCTTGTCTTCTTCCTCTTGACTCTTAGTGTTATAATAAAGCAAGTGGTGTGTTGTGTGCCTGTGGAGAGAGAGAGATGCGAGACTCTGCTGTTGTTGGAACTTGGACGGAAGACTCTGCCTCCGCCCCTGGCTATCGCGGACCGCGAAGAGGATCAACGCGAGAAGATGATGATGAGTAGATCACCAGACATGGCCATCTGCAATAGGACGAAAGTCAAGATGAATTGGTGTGGTGGTTGAGGGTTTGCGGCAGCGGAGCTTGTTCTGGGAAGGAGAAATCGAAAGTTTCTGAATTGGGGATTTGGAATAAAAAAATAAGAATAGGTTTTAATTTTTATTTGATTCTAAATTAGTTTAAATAGTATAAAAAGCCTCGAGGTTAATACAACTACAAAAATCCTTCTAGTCAACTGGTAAGGTTTACTAACTTCTCTTCCCCTCAGCTAGGTTCGATTCTCCCTTGCCGCACCAGCATTCTACTATATTTTTGTGTCCTTACCCATTCTCAAGGTGGCGTGACTTTCCAAATGAACGTCATTATCCTAGTATCATTTTCTCATCTCAACAACTGGATTCTAGTGATGGCACTTTATGATCTAGGTCGCGTGACCTAGTCTGTTTTGATATGTTTGGAGTGATTGTTCGATCAGTTCTGGATCCTCTATAAAGGTTCAAAAAGGCGTTAGGCATAAGGCGGGCGTTGAGCCTTTGCCTAGTGCATAGGCGTAGACTAAGCGTGCCTAGACGTTGGAAGAAAATAGTTATTCGCACTGCATGATGAATGGAATAATAATCTACAACACTTTCTCACTTCAGTTTAAATGATTAATAACTTACTCAACACTTAATGATAAGAACATAGCTCAAGAATTCATAGATTTATAGATCAATAGCTCACAAAGTTCTTGAGATATTGAAAATATTGATATATAAAATTAATTTCGTAGTTGATGTTAATTTCTACTTTAATGTTGACTTCCTAGCTCCATCTAGAGATGTTTAGGAGAGACTTATATGTCGTCTTACTTCATTGAAGTGTTCCACACTCTAATTAGGCGTGAAACCCCTAAGCGAAGCGTTTTTCCATTGCCTTGCGCTTAGGCGTGACTAAGCGTAAGGTTAAGCGTGCTTTTTTGAACTATGTATATTATATTACATTACTGTCTATTTGTATTTCTACTCTTTTGACCTTCTTAAAATCATATTTTAATCCAAAAGAAATTTTAACACTCCATCTCTCAACTCTTTTTTAGATTCAATTACTCATCATATCTCTAATTCATTTATGAAGTGTTTTCTCTTTGTCTTCTTGTAAAATAGTTCAATGTCAATGTGTTTTAGATTGTGTTTTTTTGTTGTTAAGTCTTAAAGAAAATTTGGTTTGAAACAACTTTAAATGTGGATTGATATTATGTGGTTTTTTATTTCAGGTATGTGTGAACAATTATGAGGTGTGTTTTATTGTATTTCTTGTTAGTGTGCTAAATTGTTATGTTATGAAGTTATGGGTCCTTGCTATCATGATTTAGGACTGATTCTCTTGGTCTCAAATGTAATTTGTACGAGCAACGAACCACCCACATTGACATACATAAGCAAAAAAGTCCAAGGGTCATAAGCTGAATTTCCTGTATTCGGTCGACCTTTTACTGTATTTAGTCAACTGATAAACCAACACTTTTGATCTTTGTTACACTTCAAAGGGGGATGGATAAATGGATAGAACACTTTATTCTTGTATCTGATCGATCTTTTTCTGTAAATGGTCGACCATTTCGGAAATGATTGTCATCAAGTGGTCGACCTCCCTACGTTTACGGTCCATCATTTTGCTTCTGACTAAAATAAAAAGGCCGACCGATGTTTTGTTGTGTTCGATCATTAATGTATCAACTTAACTTCAAATGGTCAACCGCTATATTGTAATGGTCGACCGTGAGTTTTCATCAGAACAACCACCATAATGTATTAGGTTGATCGCAGTTAGAAATAGATTGACCGAAAAGTGCAAATAATGGTCGACGTACCCAAACGAATTTGTTTATACAAATGATAAAATTATATTCTTCGGCCAACATGTCGAGTAAAAAACTAGTTTAAAACATAGGATTCTTTCACTAAAAAACTATAATTGTTTCTTTTTCCACATTCTCATTCTAACTTGATCATTGGCATGATAATGAGTCACTGAGACCCGCCATTCCTTTTCATAGGAGGTCCTAGAACTCGGGTGATCATCACATTTTGCAGTCCCTCAAACGAAAGTCACCATATATATATGGATTTGAACTTTGTACAGGTCTGAATACAACGTGCTTAATAAATGGGGGTCACTGGGATTCAAACCGAGTACCTCTCAGTCACAGAAGGCTCTGATATACCATGTCACAAACCAACTTATCTTAATAACTCAAATTGTTAGAAGATGTCCATGTATGATAATTAATCGCTTTCTTACATGCCCCTCAAATAAAAGTCAACTCGTGGCTTGAAGTTTACACAGGCTTGCTATACCATGTGCTTTAAGGAGAACAATTAATATTGGGGGTCGTGAGGGGTTAAACACGTAACCTCAAGGACAAACCAACTCTAATACATTGTCAATAACGAGTTGATCCTTATAACTCGGGTTGTTGGGAGAAGGTTAATTATATGTGGATTTTATACCACTCTCTTACACACACTCTCAAATGAAAGCCAACTAACGTCATTGAAGTTAATTTGCACATACCCACCTTACTTTATGCTTTAATCAACTGTTAATATTGAGAGTCGTGGAGATTCAAACACATTAATTACCACTCAGTCGAACCAATTTTGATACCATATCATCAACTAGATGGTCCCAATAACTCGAGTTATTGGGAGAGCATCAATTATGGATCTTATACAATTTAAGACAATAGACATCAATGTCATAGAAGACTCTAATGTCATGTCAAGAACAATTGGTTCTAATAACTCGAGTTGTTAAAAGAGATACATGTATAGTAATTAACCACTTGCTTACAACAATATTATGGTGGAAACCGGAAACTATGTCTTATTTCAAATTTCCACAACAGGGGATGTATTAGCACAAAAACGTAAAAATGTCAATTTGTACGGAAATTAAAGTATGAATACAAATAAATGTATAACTTAACGTTAAACATATAATGTGCTAATTATACATCGACTCCATAGTCAAGGATAAACTTCAATGATAGATCTTGGGCCGATCTTGCCAACGATCTTATAGTTACTAAAACCGGCCTCCTCAAACAGTCCCTTCCACTCCATTTCATTCCGTTCCTTGCCATTTAGCAATGTCGCCATCATCAGATCGAAGCAGAGCTGGATTTCACGAGACAAATCATCGTCGTCACTCCCAACTTCCGACATCACCATGTCTATTACTATCATGTTATAAACGCGCTGCTACGGATCGGGAAATCGCCGGGATCGACAAAGCAAGAATACGAAAGCGAGAATCGAAAACACGACACACGATTTACGTGGTTCACTAACACGATGTGTGTTAGCTACGTCCACGGGCGAGAGAGAGCCGATTTCACTATATCAAGGAGATTACAGATTACAGAGGAGTATGAGAAGTATTTATAGTACTTCTCCATGTGGGTCTAAACCTAATCCAATCTAGCAAAGGAAACGGTTACAGACCAGGCCCAGAACCCGAACCCAAATAACATTGAGCCCATACACCGTGGGCCGGGGGCGTTGCCCCTAGACCCCACTCGCTGACCGGGCAGCGAGACCCCCGATTACCAGTCGTAGCGGCTGATAGTCCGATTCAAGTCATATCAACAAATCTCCACCTTGACTTGAATCCTCTTCCTCTGAAATCTCTGATGTACTCTGCTCCTTCTCTCTCTCTCTCCCGCCATCAATGCCCCGTAGGGCGGAGTCACCCACTCAAGACATTCAGCAAGTCCAAGCAGTGTTGGAACTTGCCATGTGGAACCGGCTTCGTGAACATATCAGCAGGATTATCCGCGGTGCCAACCTTCTTCACCTTAATCCTCTTCTCTGTCCTCAAGAAATGATACCTCACGTCGATGTGCTTAGTCCTCTCATGGTGGACTTGATCCTTGGCCAAGCATATTGCACTCAAACTGTCGCAATACACCACTGCCTGATCATGATGTAGACCAAGATCACCAACCAGTCCCTTCAACCATATTCCCTCCTTAGCAGCTTCTGTCAACGCCATATACTCTGCCTCAGTAGTAGACAATGTCACCGCCGACTGCAAAGTTGCCTTCCAGCTCACTACAGAACTCCCAAGAGTGAATACATAACCGGTCATCGATCTCCTCGTGTCAACATCTCCAGCATAGTCCGAGTCAGAATACCCAGACACCAAGCACTCTGCATCACTTCCGAAGCTAATCCCCACATCAGGTGTACCCTTAAGGTACCGGAAGATCCTCTTCACAGCCTGCCAATGCTCCTTCCCAGGTTGTATCATAAACCTGCTGACAACACTAACAGCATGTGCAAGATCAGGTCTAGTGCATACCATAGCGTACATCAAGCTACCTACTGCACTAGCATATGGGACTCTCGACATGTACTCCTTCTCAGCCTCTGACTGCGGTGCATAGGCTGAGGATAGATGAACATTTGAAGCACTAGGAGTATTTAAGGGCTTTGCTGAAGACATGCCAAACCTCGACAGTATCTTCTGGATGTAGCTCTTCTGTGACAAGAAAAGCTTCTTCTTCGACCTGTCCCTGTAAATCTCCATACCCAAGATCTTCTGAGCAGCTCCCAAATCCTTCATCTCAAACTCAGCACTGAGAAGCCCCTTTAACTTCTGGATATCAGACTTTGACCTCGCAGCTATGAGCATATCATCCACATACAGAACTAGATATATCATCGAACCATCCTCTGCCTTGTTGTGATATACACAACAATCATATGGACTTCTGCTGTAGCCCAGCTCAAGCATGTAACTGTCAAATCTCTTGTACCACTGCCTCGGAGATTGCTTAAGTCCATACAAGGACTTCTTCAGCTTACAAACATAGTCTTCTTTTCCCGGAACCTCGAATCCTTCTGGCTGAGTCATGTAAATTTCTTCCTCCAACTCTCCATGTAGGAAAGCTGTCTTCACGTCTAGCTGCTCGAGCTCTAAGTCATAATGTGCCACTATTGCTAGTAGCACTCTGATCGAAGTATGTCTGACCACTGGTGAGAAAATCTCATTGTAGTCAACTCCTTCCCTCTGCGAGAAGCCTCGTGCAACCACCCGAGCTTTAAATTTCATGCCCTCTTTAGAAGTGATTCCTTCCTTCTTCTTGTAGATCCACTTGTTTGTAACAATCTTCCTTCCCTGTGGTCGTTTGACTAGCTCCCAAGTCTGATTCCTGTCATGGGATTCCATCTCATCTCCCATTGCGGCAAGCCACTGATCAGCTTCACCACCCGAAACTGCTTCTCTATAGGACTGTGGCTCTCCTGCATCCACTTCTTCAGCAACCTGAAATGAATACGCCACCATGTCCTCGAAGCCATACCTCTGTGGAGGTACTCCTGCAGTCGCTCTCTTCGGTCTACCGGAAGCCATAGACTGTTGAGCTCGTGCACTGGACTCTGAACTTCCTGGCTCTGCAGAGACATCCTCATCATGTTGATCTTCTCCACCTTGGTGCTCAAACTCACTCTCATTGAGAGTTTGCAGCTCCACCTGTTTATCAACATTCCTGCTACCTTCAACAACAGTAACCTTCAACATGGGGTTAAACATAGACTTCTCATCAAATATCACATTTCTACTAAGTATAACTCGATGCTCAGAAGGTGACCAGACTCGAAATCCCTTAACTCCATCTCCGTAACCCACAAATACACCCTTCTTTGCCCTTGGGTTCAGCTTACCCTCATCCACATGATAATAAACAGGACACCCAAAAACTTTCAGTGAAGAGTAATCAGCAGGCTTACCATACCACACCTCATAAGGAGTCTTACACTCGATACCTGTGTGAGGTCCACGGTTGATCAGGAAGCATGCCATGTTTACTGCTTCTGCCCAGAATCTTCTCTCTAGTCCAGCATTAGAGAGCATGCACCGTGCTCTCTCCAACAATGTCTGGTTCATCCTTTCTGCAACGCCATTCTGCTGGGGTGTATCTCTAACAGTCCGATGACGGGCAATCCCTTCATCATTGCAGAATTCGTTGAACTCAGAACTGCAGAACTCCAGACCATTGTCCGTTCGCAGCTTCTTGATCTTCTTCCCGGTCTGATTCTCCACCAATGTCTTCCACTGCTTGAACTTTGTGAAAGCCTCACTTTTCTGCTTCATCATGAAAATCCAAGTAAATCTCGAATAATCATCAATAATAGACAGAAAATACCTGCTGCCTCCAATGGATTCAACTCGTGAAGGACCCCAACAGTCGGAGTGGAGGTAATCCAGTATCCCCTTCGTCCGGTGGATACCCTTCTTGGGAAACTTGCTGCGATGTAGCTTCCCAAACACACAATGCTCACAGAATTCCAAATTCTGCACCTTGTGCCCGCAAAGAAGATCCCTCTTCGATAGAACTTGCATCCCCCGTTCACTCATATGCCCCAATCTCATGTGCCAGAGAGTGGTCATATCTTCCTGTTGAACCTGAGACGATGCAACTGCAGCAGAACCAGACAACACAGACCCTTGTAATGCATACAAGGTCCCACGCTTCACGCCCTTCAGTACCTTCCTCGAACCCTTGCAGACATACACAACTCCACCTTTTCCTTTGAAGCTGAAGCCCTTGCTGTCGAGTAGACTCAAGGAGATCAGGTTCTTCGTCATTCGTGGAACATGCCTGACATCATTCACGGTACAGAATGAACCATCATGTGTCCGAACCTTTATGGACCCGATTCCAACAACCTTGCAGACAGCTCCATTAGCCATGACCACGTTACCACCATCTATCTGCTCGTAGGTTGTGAAGCAATCCCTGTTCGGAGACATATGGTATGAGGCTGCAGTATCCAGAAACCACACATCACCACGATGTGCCTTCTCATCTACAGCCAAGGCAAGATCGTCTTCAGAACTGTTGTCCACTTCTGCCACGGCAACTGAACCTTGTTTCTTCTGTTGCCCTCTTCTCTTGGGACAGTTGTACTTCCAATGCCCCACTTCCTTACAGTTGTGACAAGCATCACCTGGCTGTGGACCGGAACCCTTGGAATTCTTGCTCGAATTCCCTTTACCAGATTTCTTCTTTCCCTTTCCACCTGTAACAGCCAAACCCGATGCCTCACCACCTGTACCAGATCCGGACGCCTTATGTCTGATCTCTCTCGTATGAAGAGCAGACCTGACATCCTCCAACGACACGCTTTCTTTACCAGCAATAAAAGAATCAACAAAGTTCTCATATGAACTCGGCAAAGAAACCAGCAGGATTAGGGCAGCATCCTCGTCATCAACTTGAACATCTATATTACGCAGATCCAGCAAAATAGAGTTAAGCTGTTCGAGATGTTCCCTCAAAGGCGTACCTTCTTGCATCCTCAAGCTGAACAACCGTTGCTTGAGATGCAGCTTGTTGGTTAGAGACTTAGTCATGTACAGACTCTCTAGTTTCAACCACAAGCCCGCGGCAGTCTTCTCAGCAGCGACTTCAATGATGACGTCATCAGACAGCGATAGCATGATGGTCGAGTGGGCCTTCTCCTCCAGGGTATTCCACTCATCGTCATCGACCGCTGCCTTCTTCTGTTTCGCAGACAGCGGCCCCCACAGCCCTTGCTGTTTTAATAAAGCCTGCATCTTGATCTGCCATATAGCGAAGCTGTTCTTCCCCGTGAACTTTTCGATCTTCATGTTCACCGACGTCATTCTTCTGAATCGAAAACCCTAGCCTGATTTCCAGCCGCGGCTCTGATACCACTTGTTATAAACGCGCTGCTACGGATCGGGAAATCGCCGGGATCGACAAAGCAAGAATACGAAAGCGAGAATCGAAAACACGACACACGATTTACGTGGTTCACTAACACGATGTGTGTTAGCTACGTCCACGGGCGAGAGAGAGCCGATTTCACTATATCAAGGAGATTACAGATTACAGAGGAGTATGAGAAGTATTTATAGTACTTCTCCATGTGGGTCTAAACCTAATCCAATCTAGCAAAGGAAACGGTTACAGACCAGGCCCAGAACCCGAACCCAAATAACATTGAGCCCATACACCGTGGGCCGGGGGCGTTGCCCCTAGACCCCACTCGCTGACCGGGCAGCGAGACCCCCGATTACCAGTCGTAGCGGCTGATAGTCCGATTCAAGTCATATCAACATATCACCTTCCCTTTCTTTCCCTCGTCGCCGTCGCCGGACACCGCCGCTTTACAACACTTCAATATCTTCACACATGACTCATCATCCCAGTTGTGTAAAATCGACTACACATATATAACAAATCCAAATTTCATGTTTAGTTTATCACGTAAATGAAGTACTTACTCCCCAGATTAACTCATGTTGTTACCATTGAAAAAGTATTAGGATTTTGGGTTTAAAATATTCCATTGACGAAAATATATGGGTGAAATTTGGACCAAATCCTTTCCTGCCCCCTAGAACTACCCTAAAATACGAGTGATTCTATAGGATCAAGTTGCAAACTTGGTCCAACCTGGTTCTATTATCCCTTGACCATGTTTGAACCACTTGGGCCGGCTCAAATCAACAAATTGATATTTGAAAAATTACATTTTGGTACCCGAATTCATTTGTCCCTATAATTTCATACCTAAACTTTATATTTTTACAAACAAGTGTAGATTTTTTGGCAAAATACATTACAGTACCTTAATATTTTTAAAATTGCATTATAGTACCTAAACATTCTTTTGGTTTGAGAAATTTCAAATCACTAATTGCTGCTACGGGTCACGAGGCTAAAAGTGATCCTATCCTAAGTTGACCCGACCCTAACCAATCCTTACATGACCAAAAAATGACCAGACCCTAACTGACCATATAGATAAACTGACCAAGCCCGACCCCGAGGGTCGGGACGGGACGGGCTGAGTCAATATTTTGTTACCTTAAGCAAGACAGCATCAGCCGAGGGAACGCTGCGGAACATATCCCCACCCACGAACTCCAGATTACCGGGGTGGCCCCCCGCCGCCGGCAATCCCTCCACCACGTGCGGCAGATCCAAAACGACGCACTTCATCTCAGGAAACGCACCCGCCACGGCGGCCGCGACAATCCCGGTGCCGCCCGCCACGTCGACAAAAGACCTCACGCCCCGGAACAACAACGACTCCCTTCCGCCGACGGTAGGAACAACGAGAGCATTCACCACCAAATTGGAGTCGCTCACCATGGCGTCGTAGAACAGCCCCTTCAGCTCCCGGGCCGGACCCGACGACCCGGCCAGGTAGTCCCAAAACGACGCCCCGTTTACCACCTCGAATGCCGTGCGCTAATTATTATTATTATTATTATTATTATCATCATCGTTATTTGTCCCCTTGTCGTTTTCCTCCAGGAGCCACGTGTCGAGGACGGAGCAGTAGTCCCTCACCGCCGGATGGAAGTGAAGAAGCGGCAGCGACGCCTGGTTGAGAGGCGCGTGGCGAAGCAGCAGCCTGGAGGCCGGAGTCAACGAGTAGCACAACTCTTCTCCTTCTTCTTCTTGTTGGACGGAGAAGAATCCGGTGGAGCGCGTGCTGAGGACGCGCATCATGCACCGGAAAGCGTGGGTTTTGGAAGGCGGGATTCGGAGGGCGGAGATGAGCTGGGAAAGCGAGGCGGCGGGTTCGCCGTGTTGGTGGACGGCGTCGGGGATGCGGAGGTGGATGGCGCATTTGATGGACATGGAGATCAGGTGGCTGAACGTCCACCGCCATATCTGTGACTGAGCTTCGACCAACTCCTCCTGAGAGTTCTCCTCCATGCTAATTGAGCCTGCTAGCTATGATAAAATCTTCCAAATATATGAATGGACATAAATCATCACAAGACGATCTGATCTGATAGCATGTATCGGCTAGCAGATAAGAAAGAAGAGGGTCATATCGAACTTTGTTCATTGTCGCAAAGATGAGAGATCTGAGGATGAAATATATATGTATGGACGTAAATCGCAACTATCTGGGGTCGATATAACAAATGTTATTCGACAGCTACTGGTGGTCAGATAGCGCACATGGTGGCACGATGTCAGTTTTCGTGTTTTATGCTTAAAAGAAAGATATGTAGACAGTACGGGACAGATGCCTCACCTAACTAGATTTGCATCCACGTGAAAAATCGGTAGTATATATATTACTAGCTTATAACCCGACTACTTGGCTGGAAATGTTTGTATTTCTATTTTTATTTTTATATTATATTTAACTTTATTAATTCGTTCAATTTCGATCGGGATGATACATAAAGGTCGAACATTTAAAGAAATAACATCATCATTTAAGAATATGAAATATGAAATGTATCTTTAATCCCATTTCATAATGATAATTAAAGCCTCACTAAAATGCTATTGGTCAATTGATTATGAGGAAAGATAGAGTATAAAAGCCAACTGGAATTCCCCACACGACCCATAGATAATTGAAAACTAAAACTAAAATCTCACAAAAGGCTACTAATAGAAAAGAAATGGAGAGTTGTAGATTCAAGTCAACCATATACTAACAACTCGACTAAAAGAGGGACCATCAAAACTTGAGAGCAAATAGAAAAATTAGGGTTACATCCAATATACTAATGGACTCGATCAAAGTAATAATGCATAAAATCAGACACGCCTTATCTACCAGTTCCAGTAGCTTGAATAGACAATCGACCTTAATTTCAGTAAACGAGGTAAGCCTCTTGGTGCACGACCCGGGAGGTTCTATATATAGTCTTCCTCAATCAAGCCTCTTCCGTTCCTCTTACGGGATTGTCTCTCATCTTCCTGATGGAGAGAAGATGGAGCTATGTATGATCTTGGTGTATTGGGTACCAAAATCTCAAGGTTTCTATACTCACCACCATGGGCTCTCATAAAAACCATAGGTGTAAAATTGGGTAGATATATATGGCTGAACGCCCACCGCCATATCTGTGACTGAGCTTCAACTAACTCCTTGGGAGAGCTCTCCATGCTAATTAATTTCTGGTATGTTGATTATGGATATAAATGTAGATCCTATTCACAGCTCACCGTCGACTTTCAAAAGAAGAAAGAACTCAAAGAAGATCATATATATCGAACTTTGTTACTTGTCGCAAAATGAGAGAGAGGCCCGGTTCTGGGGTCTTACAGTACAGTAGTGTTATTCGGCAGCTACTGGTCAGCTAGCACATGGCTCGTAATTGCCTGATGAATAAATAGTCGTCGTCCACCAATTAAAGAACGAGATAAACATATGAACAAACAAGTGGCTAGGCTAGCTGTCCCAGAAAGTACGTACCATACATCAGAGCAGTCGTTAACCAAGAACCAAATAATGAAATGAATCGACTCAGTTATCTACTGCAAGTTGAAGCCAACACTTCTCCTTCACCATGCACCCAAGTCCTCATCCATCAATCACCAAGCCCACTCAGTGTCTCAATTCCTCACTCCCTTCCCTAGTCTAGTCATTCAGGTAAATATGTCTCATCTTCTTGATGACACGTAAAAATATCTGTTCTAGACTCCCGAATTGTGACCCAAAGTGCATACATTTCTCATCATTAGCGTCATAATACATTGAATTTATGCCATCAACCCTGGGATTGCTTTTATACTATCGACACGCTTCTGTTAGCGTAATGTGCATTTTCATGTCAAAGTAAGCTAGTGGACCACTTGGTAGTAGAAGGGGATCATCGTTGAAATGAAAGAGGACGAGACTACGAGCATCCACGATCAAACGAGGCCTGATTTGATGTTCGGACGAGGGAGAAAAGTCTCAGACAAGTTAGTAGTCTGAAGTAGTTAAAGTTCAGAAACGGCGGCCCAAACACTATTTTCCTTTAAAAAAATACAGTTCCGAGCGCCGTTTAGGAGGGAGCCTAAACTTCTTCAGGAATTTGTCCAGATGCGTCCTGACGTGGTGACTACGTCGAGGAAGCTTCATGAAAGCTCAGAAGACACGTTAAAGGCCGTTTTTTTCTTCCAAAAAAAATAACCAAAGTACTATAAATAGATCATAGGGGTCCAAAACTGGGTAGCCAGTGATATGAGGGATTAGAGGGTCGTTACTCTGTCGATAGAGTGACTCACCCGACCTAGAGCGACGACGGGACCAAGGAAATAACGACTGCAAACTTGTTCGGCTCGATTTTGATTATGTTAGCGAGTTTTTAGTTTCTCCGAGCTAGATTGGTGGACGAGTCTTGTTTTTATCAGACCAACCAACTTGTTCGGCTCGATTTTGATTGTGTTGATACCTTTGATTGGTCTAAACTTTATACTAATGAATTAGTTTGGCCCGAATTTTTAATATTACTATCATGTACAAAATGTTACAATAATTAGACCACTTTGTCTCGATTCTTGGGTTGTTCGTCAACTTGAACGGTTAACAACTTTGACAATTAGTCAACATATCACATTAGCTTGAGAAATCAATGAAAAAATAGAATTAATAATTTAATTTGGTATCAACTTTACACTAATAAACTATGTTTATCCGAGTTTTCTTAAATCCGTATCATGTCCAAAATTTAGTAGATAGAGCTGAAATCGTGACAGTAACCCACCTTGAATAACATTCCCAATGAGGAATAGTACATGTGTGATAGAGGTGGTTCAGACTACACATTGACATGGCATGATAGCACATAAGTCAATGAGAACCTTCACTAACGAATCATTTGGAGGTTGAGATCCTCCAAATTGATGTTAATTAATCAATTTGTATATTGTAATTTGATGCATTGATTAAATGTATGAATTTTGAAAATAGTTTATCGTTGGTTTAGATTGTGTATGAACCATGGAACAAAATTGGATAAACAATTTCTTGTTAACAATCTCACATTTTGATAGAGATTGATAATCACTCAAAATGATTTGATTGTAAGATGAAAATGTAATACATTAATTCTATTCTCACAAATTTACCCCAAAAAACAACTTAATCTTAACTATGTATTTAACTAAATACATTACTTGAAATTCAAACCTTCAAACAACTCATAAAATCTGCCAGTCCGAATGAATCACCATTGGAGCTCTCGTTCCCAATAGTAAGAAATTGCGACGAAGGTGATGTGTTTCAACAATGGACTAACGTACGAAAAAAAGGAGAGATAGAGAAGCAATTTACGCAGAGATGATACCAAAACGAAGCATATACAAGAACAGCATAACGTTTTGCAGGAACAAACTTTCCACTGTAAAAACACAAACTAGTTTGATGAGCTTCCTTCAGTTACAGTTCCAATAACCCTGTCAAATAACCATACTACTGAACTCTCCTAGTAACCACTGGCAATTATTTAAACTCAATGCTACAAGAAAATGAAACAAACCCATCTAAACCAAACCTCTAGTTGGCTTGCTCCTCTGTTGGCACCTTCAGTTTATAATGAAAGTAACCACACTTGTTTCCAAGCTGGACGACCTCCTCTGCTTCCTTGAGCTTCGACTCCTTAGCTAAACAGTCCACCACTTGCTGCAACAGCTCCTCCTCGAGAAGCCTCTTCGCCTTGAAAACATCTTTGGCAAGTTCTGAAGCAAAACCCATATCGCCCTTCTCACAAGCAAATGGAACCAGCTTTGAGAAACCAAACTTATCGGGTTTAAACCCGGCTTCCTGCATTTCACCATACACTCGCTTCACTTCCTCCAAATTTCCCTCCTTTATAAACCCTTTGATCAAGACACTGAAACTAATAGCATCAGGTGTGATTTCCTTGTTCTTCATTTCTTCAAGTAACTCAACTGCTTCTTTTGTTGTCTTTGTCAAAGACAACCCAAGTAACTTGGCATTGTAGGTTCTAATATCAGGAGAAACTTCCTTCCCCACCATTTTCTCCCAGACTCTATTCCCATCCTCAAGTTTCTCATTTGCATAAAGCCCATTTAAAAGGATATTGTAAGTAATCAGATTAGGCACCAAACCTTTGCTTTCCATTTCGTCGAGGAGCTTCACTCCCGACTCGAGCGAACCCATTTCGCAATAGGCCTTCATCAGGGTATTGTAGGACACCACATCAGGTTGAATCTCGAGCTTCTTCGGCAACTCATTGAACAACTCCTCGACCTTCTCCAACTTCTTGGAATTCAAACACGCAGCGAGAAGGGCGTTGAAGGACAACGCAGTCTGCTTGCAGTTTCTACTGGGCATTTCGTCGAACACCTCGTGTGCGTGCTGGAGCATCCCGGCTTTCCCATAGAGAGAAATCAGGCGGGCGTTGAAACCCTCCTTGGACATGTCCTTGAACCGCTTCTGGTCCTCGAGAATCTCCTCGATCCAGTTGAAGCATTTCGCGGAGGTCAAGCGGCGGACGACGTCTTCGTAAACGCCGATCTTGGTGCGGAATCGCGGGTCTACCGAGTTCTTCTTGAACTTTTGTACAAGGCGCTTGAGGCTGCGCTCTTTGTAGAGGCCCGCGGAGAGTGCTTTGAGACTGGGCTCGACGGCGGCGGCAGCAGCGGTGGCGGTAGTGGTGGCGGCGGTCGCTGTGGCTGTGGAGTATGCGCGGCGGAGGAGGCGGGCGAGAGCCGACATTTTTTGGGATTTCGAGCAACGGAGTGATGGTTCAGTCCCTCAGGTTGCCCGACGAGCGAAATAACTATAAGAAAGCTATTGGACTTGCGCGGTTTATTTTGGGCCTCTGGGCCGTTGAAATGGGCCTCCTTACGGAGCATAGCATTGTTAGGGTTTTGGTGTTGGAGCCTGGAGGAATTGAGATAAATGTTACAGAAAATTAAAAACATTAAACGCTCAAAACCAAAATCACAGAAGAAAATTCTATGCAAAAAAAATACAGGAGAAAATTTGAAACAAATTAGGTTGAATAAGCTTTATAATTTTAGATAGAGAAAATTAAAGCTTCAATGAATAACTACAATGAGCCGATTCATCTTAAAATAGTTCTTATTATATCTTCTTTTTTTTGTGAAAAATCTTATATATCTTAGACACTAATGAAGTTGTTCTAGTAAAGTTTAATTGTCTTCATTCACCGTTATAAAAAAATCAATAGCCTTCATCTCAAACTACTTTGGGAAGCTATGATTTGGAAGGTGATTCTACAAGACATAAGTTTGTATTTTTATTGTTAAGTGCTATTTAACGAATTTGAATCTCAGACCTTCAAATTGAAAATTAGGAGTAGTATCACTAGATGTCGCTCTTGTTCCCTCCTTGAGAAGCTCACTTACCTCGTTTGCCAAGTTTGGTTTGCCTATAGTAATGCAAAGGTGAACCGAAGAAGTTAACTTGTTAGACCATCTCCATCCCTGAATCTTCACATCCCTAACAATTGCTAGAAAAATGCTACATAAACTCCACCTCACTTTAGCAATTGCTAAGGATTGTTCATCAGTAGAGAGGTCCTAGAAGATTCCTATGTTGTTCTTTTCAGGTGGTTAGTGAAGAGATGGCAATGGTTCAGCAGATCAAGGAGTTGCTGATACAGACTATGAAAGGGAATATGAAGAAACAGAAAATTAATGGAAGCTTTTTTTTTTAGAGGAAAGGGATTGACTTAGATTAATTTCAAAGGATGTTCTTTTGAGCTTTGTAGTTGTCACCATTGTTGGTCTACCGAACCACAAAGATCTCTTCACCTACTGCTTAAGGAACAAAAGGATTATTAGCAAAGGCATAACATAATTATAAGCTTCAATAACCTCTCTTAATAATTCGACATGCTTTAAATTAAGTTAATAATATCATGGACTATTCAAATTCAAGCTCCAATTCTTCCGTCTGCAAAAGATTTGATATCGCATCAACAATCAATTGATCTTAACAATTCGAGTTGTCGAGAAAGACCACCAGAAGGGAGAAAGAAAAGGATTAAGAAACAAGGTTAAAGTGATGAATCCGTGTGAGCCCAGGACTGTGTAGTGACAAAAAGGACTGACTAGTTTATGGCCTGGTCCAGAGTATACAGAAAGAAACAGATTTGTCAAATCTTCAAAAGCCAAAAGCTACAACAAATCCGCGTCCAACCAGGATTATGGAACAGAGACAAAAAGACGACTAGACTTGATTTTGATATTTGCTGCATCCCAAACACAACATTCTCTCCATTTAAAACTAGACTCCTTCTGGGCTTTTTGCTCAGAAATCGATTCCTCGATGCTCATTTCATATTTCTTTCTCACCTAACTCCCTTTGTTAAACTTTGCCACTCTGTAACGCGGCTGGAGACACACACACATGCATATATATATATACACCACAGTACTACTTTCATCACTCCAAAGACTAACTTTTGGCCTTATACTGAAATGGGTTGTTTCTTCCACTTGCACATAGCTTGCTCTGTAATAGCTCATCTCTTTGTGTTTGGATTGAGTCAATCATCCCCTGCATCAAGCCCATCGCCATCATCGTTGCCACGAATTCCGGGCATCAGGAGGGTAGTCGGGCACCATCGAGATCGATCCTTCATCGGTGGAGACGTGATTCTAGGTGGGTTCTTGATGGCCATAGTTGCAGGCATCTTCTGCTACATAAGGGTGACGAGGAAGAACCAAATGCTGGTAACTCGGCCATAAAACAGGACAACAAGTGCATCACAGTAAGTGGGTTGGTAATGGTTACTCTTTTTGGGTAGATTGGTTGTCACTAGAGATGTTGTATATTTGTAAGACCTTCACCATCTGTTGTTGTTGAAGTTAGGGAAGTGAAGCATGGTTTGTTGTTACTAGTATAGTTCAAAACCAAACTTGATTGGTGCACATGACCAATAAGATCTTGGAGACTAAAGACAGAGATTGAGAGGCTTGGTATATCTAGGTTATGTAGTGTCTTTAGGTTTACCTAATTGCTTAATGCTTAGTAATGATTCCATTCTCATTCATCGGATTATTGCTCTTGAAGTCTCGTAAAGTCTCGTATCTTGATTGATTTCTTGTTGAAATTAGGTAAGTGACATTGGTCTTTTTGGTGTGTGTGTGTGTGGGAGAAAATGACAATGGTTATCCGCAAGAGTATAGGTAACCAAACTTGGAAAATGCACTTGATGACTATGATCAAAAAGAGCACATGATTTCATAGTGTAGCGGGCTACTGGACTATGAATGATTTGCCCAAAGTTCTTCTAAGATTGATCGATGATTGTGAATGAAAGATAAAACGTCTTCGAGCATACAAGAAGAAAGAATTCCTATATAGGCGCCTTGCTTGTAGAGAAGGTTATAAATGATTGGTAAGCTAGAAAGTTCGTCTCATTTCTACATGTTTTACCCTATTTCTAATAGTGATTTCACTCTCGTTATCATAGGATATATAACTTGCTTGAAGTGCTAGATTCCTTACCTATAAAGAAGGTATGTTATCGATCAACTACAAGTGTCTAATAACGATTCCACTCTCATCCATCGTACTATATATAATTCTCTTGAAATCTCTGAAACTTATATTGATTTCAAAAGAAGGGTAAGATACGATCGATCGCAATAGCATTGCATCATAAAATATTAGAAAATCGAATCCCCTGCACGAATCCAGTAACCTGCTGGGAATCAACCATGGAATCCTTCACGAATCTAGTAACTTGCTGAAAAGTTTGTTCTGGAGCAAGAGTATAGAGCCAAAAAGGGAAGAGATTCACTCAGACAATCAACAACTTGCTGGAAAACAACCATGGAATCCGGCTTTTTTCTTCCAATCCTGTCTCAACCTTGTGACCACAAAATGGAGTAGAATTTGCGGCACTGTGGCAGCAATATCTGGATTTTCTATAAAAAGAGTGATTCTCCACTTGGTAATTACCTAAACATTTGTAGTAGCTAACAACCTTACCACTTGCCAGAAATGGTCACTTCAGTCTTCAGTGGACATTTAATTAAGACCATAATCTACTCCTTTGAGCTTCTAATCACTCCATCTTCCCCCCACTAATTGCTGCCCTAATTGCAAGTATATAGATGAAATTAAGGAAGAAAATCATCCAAACACAAAAAAAAAACAAAGATCTTTTGGAACTCTATAAACTAAAAATCAAAATGTTTATCAACAAGAGAATTCAAGAATCCTTAATCCCTCCCTCCATTTTCCCCCCACCAAAAGTTCACTACCAACATTTGTACAATTTCTATCACTACCCTCTACTACTCCTTTTCCCCCACTCAAAACTTTGATTCAAACAAAAGCAAGAGAAACAAAAAGAAATTGTAAAAAAAGTAAAAGAAGAAGAACATAAAGAAGAAAAAACCCAGAAAACTGGGGAAGAAAAAGAAGAATCAAAACCGGTGGAGGGAAGGAAACTTGAAAATTCTCCATCTCTGTTACCCTCTATATGAAAGCTGAAACCTTTTTTCCTCGTCTCTCAGCTCCAAATCCCACCATTTCTGTGGATTCCTTCAACAATTCACCTGCAAACAAAAAAAAAATGTCACCCCAATTGAGTAAATCCAATTCAATCCCGCCATACAAATGGGATTTCATCGAAACCTCTAAAGTTGAGAGCTTTTTCGAAAATTGTACCTTGTTGAGCCTTGCAAGAAGGCGGTTCTTCGAACAGAGAAACAGAGAGCTGCTTGCGCGCGAGACCAATATCGAGCAAGATAACCCCCGAGGCCGGATCCGTGACGAAGATCCCTTTGACAGGAAACCAAAGGAAGAGCTCCTCCTGAGTTAGCCCTTCCATTCCGATGAGCCCGCCAAAGCTGAGATTAGCTCGGAGCACGCTCTCGAAGAACACTCTGTTTTCGAACTTGGCCAAACAGGGGCCGTCGAGCTCGACCTCTAGCCGGCCGGAGGAATCGAGATCGAACGATTTGACATTGTCTGGAAACAATCCCCCCGGGAGTCCCTGGCTGTGGAGGAGCTTCTGGAGCGACGACGACATCCCGCTGCCGGCGGCGGCGGGGGGTGAGAGGAGGATGAGGAGGAGGGAGACGGAGAAGATGATTATGGAAGCCATTGTGGATGGTGTGAGAGTCGACATTTTTTGTGGGGAGAAAAGGGTAACGGAAAAGGGGGAGAGCAGAGGAAGAGAGAGAGAGAGAGATGATTTGGGAGTTTTTTTTTTGGGGAAGAAAGGAAAATGTTTTATTGCTTACAGCTTACAGACAGATAGAGATAGAGAGAGAGGGCAGCTGCTTGGAATTGGATCTTTCGTTGGATGGATTGGAAGGAGAAAGTTTGTGGGAAACAACGGGTTGTAGGGGACAAAGAGGGCTGGAAATTTAACGTTTTGGTCACGTTGGAAGGGTTGTGTACTTGTGTCGTGGGTAACCATTCGGTTCACACCGGTTCATTTTAAGAGATCATATGGTCTAACATATAGTTTGATCAGAATCGGATCGAAATGATATCGAACTGACTGGACAAAAACATATTAGAACTTATAAGCTCATTTTGATTCAGATGTTTGGTTAGACTTCAATTTTCAGTCAGATTTTTCTCGGTGATTTTGTAGAGAATACTATGAAAGCGAATCTAAGTGATAATCGTTAACATGAATATGATCTGATTCAATATTTAGAACATGGTCCATTCAGCTTTTGGTATGAATTGGGTTGTTGTCCAGGTTTGATGTATGGTACACTACAGTATTGAGTATACACAATCCATAATTTTTGCATTGATATTCAATAAGTACGTGTTTATATGACTTGAATCGGACTATCAGCCGCTACGACTGGTAATCGGGTTCTGGGCCTGGTCTGTAACCGTTTCCTTTGCTAGTTTGGATTAGGTTTAGACCCACATGGAGAAGTACTATAAATACTTCTCATACTCCTCTGTAATCTGTAATCTCCTCAATATAGTGAAATCGGCTCTCTCTCCCCCGTGGACGTAGCTAACACACATCGTGTTAGTGAACTACGTAAATCGTGTGTCGTGTTTTCGATTCTCGCTTTCGTATTCTTGCTTTGTCGATCCCGGCGATTTCCCGATCCGTAGCAGCGCATTTATAACAGTACGGTTCATTCTCGCTCATGTCCTATACCAACTCAACCTGAATCCAAACCAGGACAGGTTCATCGTTCCATTGTGCACGTCTAACTGGACCGACGAGAGTTTGATTCGAGTTTTGTACTTCAAATTCAATCACTGTCTTGCTCCCACTCGAGCAAAATGTATTATGCATTAGTTTCAAGGTGATGAGGGTTCTATACTAGTTCGGTTCGATCCCATATCGAACCAAATCATATTTACCAAACCAGGTATTTGGGAGAGAGAGTTAAGCGGAGTGTTTTTTTTTTTTTTTTTACTGATTCGGGAGGCGTAGATTCGCGGCGATTTTGCTCTTTTTCCGTTATGAATTAGGATAAGGAGGAGGGAATGAAGGAGTTATTTTCTGGCTGAGTTTTTACGGCGAGGTCAAAGTAGTTGATGTTGAAGCAGTAAAAGAGAAACAGAAAAGGATCTGTCTAAATATAACGGCAAAAACGATACCTGTGCTTTGCATGGCTGACTCACTGAGGCGTTTCTGTTTGGGAATCAGAGAGGGACTGCTCACACCCTGCTCTGCTCTGAACCCTAGGACTGGGTGAAAAGCACGAGGTTCTCGACCAAATTATTAAGTTCATTTCTGTTGTGAGAAAAAAGGAAATAATATTTTAATACGATAATATTGTATTGTAGTGTTTTTTTTAGTTTCCCTAGAAACTTCCATCCCATGATAACGCCTCATATTTTGGTTTTTTTCCCCCGGTTGTTCATATCTCATATTCTGATAACGTCTCTTGTTCTTATCGCCAAAAGAATACGCATGTACGAGTATGCATGTATGTATGTATCTACGTACGTAAGTACGTACATATCTGAAAGAGAAAGAAGTTGGCATTGATCTATGAAATGTTTTGATATTATCCATGGTGAGGTGTGTTTTGTGGTGGTAGACTACTCATGAGTCATGACTCATGAGCGTGTTTTTTTGGCACATGGTAGGGTAAGGATAGGGGCGGATTCGGTCGATTCGTTCGGGGATTTCTGGGGACAAATCTAAAAAGGTTGAATATTTAAATTTGTGACACGGTAGTTATTAGTAAACATGTTTTTTCATTTTACTACGGTTCAATTCATGTTGTCATTTGAAAATAAATGTCCAACACGTATCCTCAATTTTAGCAAAACCTGAAAACCTAAACCACGGATATCCTCATCCCCACGACTTATAATCTCCTACATTCAAGGGGTCCCATCTCTGCCTAAAAATGTTCCAATTTTTTGAGAATATGAAAATATGTCGTCGGCATCGTTCCCTAACAGAGAGGAATACAGCGGATCTTGCGACAAAACAGATTATGCGACAACTAGGTAACAACCGATTGTGCCCCTCTTCTTACAGTCGAGTATATTCTAACGGACATGTTTTGTAACTTGTACTAATTGAATTTTTTTTGTTGAATACTAGTTGGATATTTTCTTTTTCATTTTTTTAATTTAAATTTGGAGGAGAACACCTCCGATATAAAATTTCAGAATCAACCACTAGATAAGGAGGCCTTAATTTCTCTATTGGAAAGGGTTTCGTGGTCGTTTGGTTCGATCGTAGCAGCTAGTTGCTTATGCAATAATGACGGAGTCAGAAATTTAAACAAGATAGGTCGGAATAATAAAACTCAAAGGAATCCAAATGTTGGTGGTCGAAAAACGGTGACGGACCGACGACAAATTACAAGCCTTACCAATTGTAGTGCATAGTTCGACGTGTGTGTATATGTATTTAACTATAGTTGTTAATTAGTTGTACCTCTTGTCCCCTATTTAGCTCATTCCCATTCCATTTTCAGTTCTTGGCTTAAAACATAAGGGTGGTGGTAGCTTCCTTTCTATATTTGTTGGGCACAATTCCAATCTGGAGTTGCTTCGTAGTTCCTACTTCCTCCTAGCTGTTTTTTTTTTCTCTCTCTGGTTCGTACCGTCTAGTTTTCCCCGCCATCGCATAGCAACAATACGAAATTAAGTAAATACAAAAATCGAGTTAATTTTTTCGTCTCACCTAAAGTTCACTATAGAAATAGTTGGGCTATTCCACTAGGGTTCAGCCAAAGATTTGTATCGAACTCAAGATCGAAATCTGAAAAATCAAAAGAATATTTCAGTATTGAGTATGTATTATAAGGTATATAAAGAAAGGCATAAATTCGGTAATGGACAGAAAGAACCACTTAGCTGCCTGCCACCGATATCTTGCTTTGTGTTTTTTTTTTGTTACCACAAAACTAAAAAATAAAAGAACAAACGTCACAGCTAGTAGAGCATTATTGCAAAAATTCAAACTGTTGATGGAATATAAACCATAATAATAATAATAACAAATAATAATGTAGTATTCCCCACCTCGTCCGCCGTCTCCATCTCCAAACCAACAGCTCTTCCGCCGATTGGTTCCCCAAAATATCTCTTCTTTAAACCAACCCCACTGCCTCGTCATGATGGAGGCGAGGACCGGGTCTCGCCCGGTTCGGTCCTGAATCGAGTGAGGATCGATGACTTAATGCAGAAATTAGATCGAAAAATGAACATCTATTCGTTCTCGTTTTAGCCTGTCTGTTAGTTTCTAAATGAAACCATATTAAAACTAGGAATCGTTTCGGTTGAGTTTAAATCATAACAATATTGTTCCTTTTTTTTTTTTTGCTTATTGTTAAGTTGGTATATTTAAAGGTGCGTTAACGGTCTTTCCAATATGAGAGGACCTGCGTGTGAGGTTCACGCACGGAATTTCTAGATCTTAAACGCGGTAAAAAAAAAAGTAATTTGTCGAATGACTATGTATGGTTGTGGTCCAGATATGCATGTGAGAAAGATAGGTACAATGTTAAGGTAACTACCGGTTTAATTTTCGAACCAAGGTAACTATTTAATTATGAAGCTATTTATTTATAGTTGAACTCTTTAAACAATCTATCTTTTATTAGACGTTGCAATGATGGGGAGGGAATAGAATAAGATCTATAGGAGAGAATTTTGAGAGGGGGGAATTTCCCATTATTAATGGCCTGCTTAATGGAAAGTTCTATTAATTGTTTCCTGTAATCACGGGGGAATAATCTTGAGAACAGTTCAACGAAGTTAGAGGAAACGACGGATGCTTCAACGAAGGAGTTTGCTTAATGACAACAATTAATTCTAATCCACAGTATATATTTTTGTTAATTATAGTAATTAATCAATGTTCATAGCTCGTCCGCCGGCATAATATTGTTGTCGGTTGCACTACATGGCTAACAACACGAAGCCAAACAAATGCTCTATTAATCAAAGCAGCTGGCTGGCTTTGTTTTGCTCTTTTAGATGGCGCTTTTTGCCTTGTCTGCCTGTCACCCATGATTGGAATGTCGGGGCCCTTTTCTGACCCGACCCGACCCGAGCATGTTCATGTGTGACCAATATCATTATTCATTCGCTCAAAAAGGTCATTCATTAGCATATTGGACATAATCACCATGGATAATTGATCTTGCAATGCATTGCACTACATTGATTTCTAGATTGCCTCGATATAATCAAGAGAAATGAGAAGAAAGTAACGATTTATTATCTGTTCATGAATAATATTAGTCATATGATTTTATAGATTGTCTCGATAATTGTCGGGTGATGTTATAAACTTGCTATAAGATCTTGCAATAATCAAGAGTGGAGTCAGTCACCTTTGTTCAAGGTGGATCCATGACAACACCTTAGATGTATAATGTATTGGAGAACTATAAGAACTAGGGTTGGGAAAACGGTTGCGGTTTCGCGGTTAAACCAATAACCGCACCGAAATCGTGCGGTTATTGGTTAACCGCAAACCCCATATTTTGCCTATTTTGCGGTCGCGGTTGGAGATATGGACTATTTTGCGGTTTGCGGTTTAACCGCAACCGAAACAGCAAATCCATATAACCGCAAGGCTAATCGCGAGATAGCCCCAACCCATAGTTGACCCCCAGCCCAGCCCAAAGTTGACCCCCCACCCCAGCCCAAAGTAGACCCCCAACCCAGCAGCCCAAACCCGACACGGCCCTTCCCCCACTTCTCCCTTTTGCCGTCGTTTTGATTTGACGAAACGAAAGTAAAAAATCCATTTCCCTTCGACCCTTCCCATCTTCCCGCGTCGTCGTCAGATGCAGGGGCTTGATGGAAGTGAAAATAGACAAAACAGTAGCTGCTGTGTTTTTTTTTCCATGTATTTTTGCGGTTAGTTCGCGGTTAATTCGCGATTAGTTTGCTTAACTGCGGTTTCGTATACTGTTTCGGTTGTTGCGGTTTTTGCAACCAGAAACCGCGGTTCACCGTTAATCGCGTTCTGCGGTTTTTGGTTAACCGCTAACCGTGAGGGACGCGGTCGCGGTTGGCTAATATGGGTGTTTTGCGGTTGCAGTTAACTGCAAATTGCGGTGCAGTTAACCGCAACCGCACCGTTTCCCACCCCTAATAAGAACCATTGGTGTATATGTGCGCGCGCCAATGGTGATATATATGTAACTTCTGATTTATATATCCTTTTAAGTCTTTTGTTAATGTACCGACTTCTGAATTTTTTACCGTCATCGTTGCAAATGCTTAAAAAAAATATTTTCATAATAAGCTACGTGACAATCACCCTTTAATGGTGAAGTTTGTAAATGCTTTCTGGTAGCATACTTAATGAGAGACGCCATTCATAATTCGGATCATGATATAAGTAAAAGAGTAAACATCATATGATTTTTCCCCCCACATTGCACTCATATTGGACAAAATCCTGACTCTGCCACCGCCAACAATATTTGCAAAACACCAATTTGATCGATGAATCGAGTGGGAGTAGCCATCATGACTTTTTTGTCAGTAAGTTTTTGGAGCTAATAATAAATATTTGTTGAGGAAATGATGCTAAGATCTTTACTATTTTGACCTTGTGAATTCATTATTGTTACGCCAATTAAGAAGAGAACTCATTATGGCTAGCATGGAGTGTTTACCGTTCAAATCTTCGTATGATTGTGCTAGGAGAAAATTTGGGAAGCTTCTTTCTACTGATAATGAGATCGATAGTGTGTGTAAATTGGAGTGGCAATCGCAATCACACATTTCCTATTCATGTCATGTGTTCACATGTCCCTACGCTATTATTGAGCACCTCTTTTTTTGGTTCAATTATAGTGGCAGTCGCAATCACATATTCATGGGCCAATAACTGGATCATGATCCACCAATCCATACATATGCTTAGGCCCAAAGATCTCCCAACAAACAAAAAACCTAATTAATACTAAGATATGAACCACAGGTGAGATGAGAACACGAAAAGTAAAATCCTACCCCTAATTAGTGGGGTATAAGTTATTTCCAAATTATAGGAATGGTAAAAGGGTTGGGAGGATGAATTTCATTTTGTCTAAATTGAGATGTAGTTGGAAGGAAATCATTATCTACTTTCGAAATTGCGAGGTTGATTCAGTCTTTCTACCCTACTCGCGCTAAAAAATCAAAACGACATCATTTTGTACATAATATGAACAATACGGATAATTTATGAATGTTAATAGTCTGTGTCAGTATAAACCTAATAATATGAACAATTAGTGAACCTTATTAGTCTTTATAGAGATATTTATAGAATTTTTTTTATATAATATTACAATGTGAGTGTTCAGTATTAATGCATGGATATGTTTATGAATCCACGAGTCCTCATGAATTCGTGTGTACCTGTTGGATTAGGTTGGATTTGTTGTTCTAAAACCTAATGGGTATTTCCCAGTTTTTTTCTTGGTGCACCCACCAAATTGGGTTTGAATTTAAGGAAATTTGATCCAACTTGACCTATTGTAATCCCCATCGCCTTATTTAACTCACAACTTTTGGTATTAGGGGTGGCAATTTGGTCTAAGTTTGTAGGTTTTACTCGAAATCGGATCGTATAATTCCGACCGAGACCGGATCGGGATCGGATAGCAAACAATTCAATCCTATCTTCAAGCTTAGATTTGAGGTTAAAAACCATTCGAGACCGGACCAAAAATCGAATAAAAGAACCCAGCACCCAAAACCTAACCAACTCCACACCCTTTTAGGCCTCATCCCACTCAAAACTCCACAAGCTCAATTTAAAATCAAGACCAGATTGGGACCGAACCGGGTCAAAACTGGATTGTATCCAATCCAATCTTCGGTCCTCATATTCTCGAAAAGATTACACCGAAACCGGATCAATTCGGACCAATTTAATTGGAGCGTATTAGCTTCCCCTAGTTGGTATGTAAAGCCAGATTTCCAACCTTGAATCAACATCATTTGTCAGAAATAAGGGTCAGGCTTTGAGCCTTGAACGGCTCTAGAGTGTTGAGCATGAGGAAAGAGGACCAATGTTGAGCCTGGTCTGGTCATGTTCAGAATCGGATGCAAACTAACACATGGCCAGATCAACAATAAAAGGAAAATGACCCACCATTTTCGAATCAAAGGAAGCAAATTGAATTATATTCAAGCGACTCAAATGCCAAATTCGGTTTGATGTGTAGCAAATCGTTGGTCACCACCCTAAATAGGACCAACTTGGAAACAGAGCAAAATTCACATACAGAGTCTAGAACAGTGTCAAGTCCATATGGCTGCCATGTAATCCTCATCAAATTCCCTTTCTCCATAAGGATGGATGGATTGGACACGGTGTCCAAAAAGAGACTCAGAACTCACCTATCTGATCTTACAATGCATACAAGATTTTTCACTGTAGGGGACTAGGGAAGTCTCAGCTCTAAAGAGGAATGAACTCAAAATCACACTTTGCTTCCCCCCAGCAAAGACCATGAATCACAGATGAGAACACCATAGAAAAGCTGAAGGATGACCCTGCAACGAAGAGACAGGTATTAACTCTACTCTTTTGATTCGAACTACTAAAGCATATGCACAAGGAAGCAAGAGCAAATGACAGAACAGTTATAAACAAATGGTACAAGCTATGAAGAAAAGCACAAGGGTAGTAAAACATACATTTTTTTTATATTCTATGATCGCTTATGCAGAGGACGATGACTCGGGCGAGCTAGCAGACTGTGGTTTTGATGGACTCCTTTGATTAGCAGGTGGGCCATCTCTTCGTCTCTCGTACCTTTTACTCTCGTACTTGGAACTCTTGCGCTGCTTCGGTTGATACGTCGGGTAAGTGCATGGTATGATTTCTCCATTCACATACTTGTCCCCTGAACATTTCTCCAAAAGAACATTAAGGCCATTAAAGGATGAACACCACTGCCAAAAAGATCCAACATGAAAGCCAGATGAAGTAAACTAAAAGCAGCTGAGCACCTCCATAGTCTTTGTTCTTAACATCTATATAGGAGTCAGGCAGCACCCAGAGCACTCCTGGCAAACCTGCAACAGCTTGAAAATCCCAAGATAAGTATATAAGTAAACAAAGCAAGTAGAGTTAAAAAAAAAATGGGTTACTCTTACTCACCCTTGAATTTCTCAGAGGTAGCTTCATCTACCGTGCACTGAAACCCGGTGTAGGTCGTTGTACTGAAAGCATACATATTTTTCTTCGCCTCTTCCATGCTGAGTTCCACAGAAACCAAATGCAATGAGTGACAGTTCAGACTCTAACGACAACTCCAGTTCTTCTAATAAATAGAGCTGCGCTCAAGCCCAGCGTTATATTGAGGTTACTTAGATTCAAAGACACAACCTTTGAGGCTATAAAAGGCTCTAATACGATACTAAGTTTCAAAAACATATTGAGATACAATATTGAGATTTGAGAATCAACTTGTTGCCACAGCTCGAGTTTACATTTGAGTTACTACGGATTCAAAGACACAACCTTTCGGGCCATCAAAGGCTGTAATGTCATATATTGAGAATCAATTCGCTGCAGTAACTCTGAATAACTCGAATTGCTCACTGATTCCCCGTAATGGATATCCAACCATTCCTTTACACTTTACAGATTCACACATATGGAATAGTTCACTACTACTAAGCCAACAGTTCAATCCAATTTCTACCAAATCAAGCTACCAAACCCTAAATTCACACCAGCTTCGAACGACTGGAAACATTGCAGATTAAGATTGAAACAAAATCCAACCTGCCAAGGACGGTAGCGAGAGTATTGAGATAAGCATCGATCATCTGCTCTCTACTCGGCGCGGGATCCTTGGGGAAGTCCATCACAATCAGCCAATGGTTGTAGTCGCAACCGGGCAACATTATCGTCTCCCTCTGCTCGCTGCTGCTCCTCCGCGACGAAAAATCGGAGTTCACGGCCGCGCGAGCAAACGACTGCCGCTGCCGCGAGCGGAAGGAGCTCCAACTCCGGCGGTTCCATGATTGAGGGACGGGAAAGGAGGAAGGCGTCAAGGATGGTTTGGGGCAAGAGAGAGAAGGGGTTAGGGTTTTGGGAGTGAGTGAAGACGAGAGAGCAAACGCAGCCATTGGAAGCGCGGACGAACTATACGAAATTGGCGAGCGCGAGACTGTGAAGAAGAGGATAAGGTAAACTAGCGAGTAGCGATATTTAGTTTTGAGAGAGAGGAGATATTTTGTTTTTACTATTTTGCTAGTGGACGGAATCTTGCCGGGAGCGGGAAACCAGTGAGCTCCTCCGCTGTGAAATTTGACAGTCGGACTTGTCTATGGCCGCCGGGGTTGCTTTTTGGGTTGATGAGTACTCCGCGAGAGCCCAACTTATTGGCGGCTTTTAGGCCCACTAGTACAGGGCTTTCTGAGGCCGGAAAGTAGGGATGGCAATGGGTCGGGTTGGGTCGGGTTTTGTCAAATCCAAACCCAAATTCATGAGTTTATTCGTAAAAAAACTCGGGGTAAAACTCATTGGATTTGGAAAACTCAAATCCAACCCAACCCGCTGGGTATCCGCGGGTTCATGGATACCCGTGGGTTTTTGTGCTAAAAAACTTACAATAACAAGTTCCTATCAAAATAAAAGTCAAACATCAAATTCCTCATACAAATTATCCATACATAAAACATTAGTCTAGAAAATTCAAACAAATCACAATTACACTAAATAAAAACACACAATTTTTTGTTTTTCGTTCATTCCTTTTTGTTTGTGAGAGAGCAACGAACTAACAAACATGGTGTATTCAACTTCAACTATTAATTTATCCCTCTCACTTCTTTTGGAAAAAAAAAGAAACATTACATTGGTAAGAAATAAAATTAGGGTGGGTATGGGAAGAGTTAGATTGGGAGAAATTAGAATTAGGGTAGGGTTTGGGAAGAGTAGGGCGACGGAATAAGTGTGGGTGGGTATCCATGGTCGGGTACCCCTAAACCCAAACTCAACCCGGTGAGCAGTGTACCGGGTTTAAACCCGAACCCTGCCCGAAACCCGTCAACACGGATACCCATGTCTTCGGCTTTTGTTGCCATTCCTACTAGAAACTAGCACGGAAAAGAGAAAACTGCTTATCTCTATCTATCAAAGGCCAACTTATCATTTCGTATGATCATCTAGTGTAGCCGATATTGTTGACCAGGGCTGGAAGTTGGTACAGATTACGAACATTTGGGATAATACTGAATATCGTATCGAATTTTTTGATATTTAGTATTATTGGATATATGTAATATTTCATAAGATTCGGATCGAATTTCAAGTGTTGATTGATATTAGGGATTACGGGATTGAGATTGGTAATATACCGAAATACCAATCAATACCGAACTGTAAGCTAGTGCGTATTTTATCTCTCCCAACTGGACTTTCTCACTCACTACTAACAGTAACAGACCCTCAACTACCAAAATTGTCACTTAATTATACATAGCACATTCTCTCACTATTTATCAACTCATACTAAGCTCCGTTTGTTACTTGTTGTGTAGTATGTTTATGGGTTATTTAAACATCTCCCATTTTAGTTTGTTGCTTTAATATTTTATTGTGCTTATTAGGCACCATATTTTTATAATTTGTTGCTAGTATACTTTGCGAAATTTTCTTATTTATTTTGCATGAATGTTGACACCATTTTTTGTTTTAATAGATTTTGAGAATGATTTGTGGAGCTACCGGCAAAGCATAACTATTTGCTTTTGCATATTTGAATTATAATTTTGAAGCGAATTAATTTAGTATTTTGTATATAACGATACCGAATAAAATATTAGAGATTGAAATTGAAATACTGAATTTATTTAGGGATTGAGATTAGAATTGAGTTTAGGACACTATTTGATATTCATTAATCTTTGATTGAAGTCTAAGTTTTTTTTTAAGTGACAAGTCAAGTTATGAACATATAATAGGTCTAAGAGCTATTACTTAACTTATTTATACTTGAATGGGATCAACCTAATAGCCTAATTATCTCACTAACTCCAATGATCTTACGTCAATGATATTTATCATTGTTAATTCATAGGATTAAGAAACCCGGTGACAATTAATTAAACTGGAGACACACACCATGACTAAAACGACAGATTTGCGCGGTGGAACTTTGACTTATGGTTTTTTTCCATAGATATTCCGGGAGGAATAGCAAGATACGAGAATATACAAAACCAACAAAGGTCAAAGACAAAGGAAAAAAATTAAGGCGCGATGATCAACAAGCTGCTGAATCATCGATGAGAGGGCTTGTTTCGCCACGATATGGGCAGCCCTATTGTACCTACGAGGCACGAAATGAAACGAAACACGCCGGAGAGATGATAGTAACACCTGAACCTCCTTCAGAATGGCACCTCCCAAAGCGTGAGTCGAATCGTTCGCGTTGACCATCCGAATGAGCACCTGCGCATCACCACAGAAAAGAATATTAGTTAGAGAGTGAGAGACGCACCAACTCATAGCATCACGAAGAGCCATCAATTCCAAAAGAAAGGGGTCCGAAACTCCCTCATAGAATCTGCCAAAAGCAAAGCTCACGTCCCGATTTCCAGTGAAGCCAACAAATCCAACTCCTCCTCCAAGTGATTGTTGTGTGGCTCCATCAAAATGAACAAGGACTAAATTCTCGGGAATAGCAGGGGGTACATAGCTCCGACCAGCAGTAGGGGAGCTATGTTGGCTTCTTGGACGAGCTCCATTGACAGGGTTTGATTGAGCGAAAGTTCATTCCGATACTTGACTGTCAAACTGCCGCAACAGAGTGGGTGGTAGGAAGAGGACAAGTTCATACGCTGAAGAACACCGCCCTTTCCAAATCCTCCAGTATAAGAAGACCAAACGAGCCACTGTCACTTTATCCAGACCTGCATAAAAAAAAAAGATAGCGCCACCCAATTTCAATATGCATCAGGCGTATATGAGCCAATTCCCACAACTTAGTGGCCACCCTGCAATGGAGAAAGCAATGAGACAAAGTCTCTGAAGGGTCTGTGCAGACTGGGCATTTCAAAGCTTCCAAGTCCTCACCATCCAGAAGCTCTTTATCTCTGAGCACATCTTTCACAGGTAAGTAGCCTTTGATCAACCGCCACATTAAAAATCTTAGCTTAGGTGGAACTGGGAGTGACCACAAGAACTTCCAAGCTTTTGCATCAAATATTGTCGGAATTGTAGACAGGTCTCGAACGAAATCAGCCTCCGCAATGCGATAGCCCGATTTGACAGTATATTCGTCTGAAGATTCATAGTGCCACACTATTCTATCGGGCATGGGGAATACAGGAAGAGGGATACTGCAGATTACCTTCACTGTGGCCTCATCGAAGAGAGTTTTCAGCAGCGGCAGCTTCCATATACCTGCAACATGGTCAATTAATGATGAAACTTGAGAGGATGGGAGGGCTGCGTGTGGCAACAGCTACGGGCGGGAAGGAGGAGTAGTGGGTAGCCAAATATCCTCTGTAATATTCACAATAGTCCCAGATCCGATAAGCCATCTGATACCCTGAAGAAGGAGATCACGACCCTCCAAAACATCCTGCCATGCCCACGAGGGCCAAGCTCCCGAAGTGGCCTGCAAGAAGGAAGAATTGGGAAAATATTTTCCTTTATATTGAATTGCAAGGGAGCTGTCCGGATCCTGCAGAATACGCCATGCTTGCTTAGCTAGTAAGGCTTTGTTATTGCTGTCGAAATCGCGGAATCCAAGACCACCACTGGACTTATGCCGACAAAGAGCCCGCCATGACGTCCAATTCATCCCTACATCTCTATCCTGCTGTGCCCACCAAAATCTTGCTAAGTGTCCATTCAATTTGCGACAAAATGTAAGAGTCAATCGAAAACTCAGCATGGCATAATTCGGCAAAGCATTAGCAATCGATTTGATAAGTGTTTCTTTGGCAGCCAGAGATATTGATTTGGCCTTCCACTGTTGAAGCTTGGATATCAACTGATCTTCAATGAACTGGAATGTTTCCTGCTTAGATCTGGAGACTCTAGTAGGCAAACCTAGGTAGCTATCATGAGCGCCACTGGCCGCAACACCCAGCAAAGCCATGATTTCTTCAGCTTCACACGTGGAGACATTCTTGCTTAAGGTAATTGTGGATTTCTGCAGATTGACTTTCTGGCCACTAACCTGCTGGTAAGATTCAAGCAAGGTAATGAGGTTATGACACTCTGATAAGGAAGCACGAAGAAACAAATAAGTGTCATCTGCAAAGGATAGGTGGGACAGCATAGGACATCGATAATAAATTTTCAACCCATATAGGAATTGAGCTTGAATAGCTTGATTAAGGAGCGTCGAGAACCCTTCTGTGTAAAGAGCGAAGAGCAAGGGAGATAAAGGATCTCCCTGCCGGATGCCACGTTCTGGATGAAAGTAGCCATGAGGAGAGCCATTAATGAGCACAATAAAAGATACAGAAGTGACACATTCTCGAACCCAGTTAATCCATTGATCACAGAAACCCAAATGTTGCAAAAGAGTGAACAAGAATTCCCACTCTACCCTACCGTACGCCTTCTCCATATCTAATTTTAAGGCCATCCATTTGTCCCGACCTTGAGTTTTTGTTTTCAGAAAGTGCATAACTTTTTGCCTGAGCAGAATATTGTCAGAAATTATTCTACCTTTGACAAAACCATTATGAAAAGGGCCAACCACCCGAGGTAAAATTTCACTCAACCTGGCAGAAATGATTTTAGAAATCACCTTGTAGGGGACTTGACACAACCCAATAGGACGCATTTGTCCCATAGACTCGGCATTAGACACTTTGGGAAGCAAAGTTATCCAAGTATGATTGAAATTGGGTAAGAGGTGACCTGTACGGAAGAATTCAAGCACCGCTGCCACAACTGATTCACCAACAAGAGGCCAGAAGGATTGGAAAAAGATGCCGGTGAAGCCATCCGAACCCGGTGCTTGGTAACTCCCAATACTAAAGACAGTAGAGCGGATGTCTTCTCTGGTTATAGGGGCGGTCAGCATGGCATTCATGGCTGCAGTGACTAATTTCGGCAGACCTAGGCACTCCATAAACGAGGAAACTTGGGAACATTTAGAAGTAAATATGTCTTGAAAGTAAAGGACAGCAACCATACCTTTCGGCGATTCCTCCGCGTGGAGAATGCGATTCTCATCTCGAATGACCAGAATACGATTCTTTCGCCGCCTTTGCATATTAGGAAGATGGAAAAAGAGGGTGTTTGAATCCACTTCTGTCAGATAGTGCACCCGGGATTTCTGCTACCAGTATATTTCTTCTTGGAGATAAGC